AAGTACGGACAAGGCAAGAGTTGATGCATTGAAATGAATGAACAGGGCTAAGTTAAGTTCATTAATTTCAATAGGTCAAATTGGAGTAATGCTTAGTTGAATGCCACCCATTACCCCTTGCCTGCTCTTGAATTAAATTCAACTCCTCTGTGGAAATTTTTTTCTTAGAAAGTAATCTAGTCATCATGATGGAAGAGGTCAAAGTCTGTGTCTCTTTCTGAGCTCACTTTGGTCCTTCCCAGCAGAGCTCAGATGGGCCTCCTGATTGATAGTGACTATTGTGGTAATTGCTACTGGGATGTTGGCTGAAGGCAGGGTTTCAACATGTACCGTGTCACTTCAGTGAGACCTCCAATTCTCTCTGGCAGAGATAAATGCAGCCCAGCTTAGAAGGCTGATGGGTTTACAGACAGGAAAATGCAGAGGACAAGACGCGAATTCCCACCTCCCCATCATGTCCTCTGCCTGTGTTTTTGTTTTCTTTAAAGGCAGCAGCTGGTAGAACAGACTCGGATGCACACAGCCTTGCCAGATGGAAAAGGAAGCCAAGGGGCTAGAGAGGCTTATCTTAAAAAGAATCTGAAAGTTTTGCAAAACAATTTGATTAATGGATAGCTACATTTTGTAATGATGCGCCTGGGTTTTAGGTTGGGGAACAGTTGTTTAGTATCTCTTTTCAAGGAAGCCCCATGGAGTCTACATTAATTATTATTATTATTACTACAATTAATTTATCAATCGCCTTCTAAACCAGCATCTCAAGGCAATATACACACAAAGTAATTAAAAACAATTTAAAATGTGAAACAATAAAAGCATCCCAAATCATAACCATATCAATAAAACGCTCACATTTTCTTCCTGCTTTAGCAAAACACCTGTGGGATGTAGTCCATTGGAGCAGTCAAGTACAACATTCCTTGTTTCCCTAGAATGGACACAGACAGGGGGATGTTACTCCAGCCAAGGTAGAGTTTCCTGTTCCACCTGGTCTGGAGCATCCTCCCCCCTGCATGTGACCAGGTAGGTGGGCGTGACCCTTGCAGACCCCACAAAAGGGCTAGTCATGGAGCCATCTCTCTCTCTTTTGCTTCTCTCTTCCATTTTGGCCTCTGCTCCTGATGCATCTGATGCTGTCTGCTGGCTCTCTGCCAGCAGCACATGATGCAAGCCACACTGTATCTGTCACTACAAGCTAAAGCCTGCCTTCAGGGATCATACTGTGAACTGAATGTGAGTAAACTTTTCATTACTTATAGGGAAGACTCTTGTGTCTTTATTCTTTTAGGAGGGAATCAAAGTGGTCTTCCCAGAAATATACTCCAATCTGAGCGTGCCAGATTGGATTGCTTAACTAAAGAGATTCAAACGTATCTGCAACTAGCTTCTCACTGTGTAAAGGGGAATAAGCTCTGCTAGCGTGAGTGAGGAAGGATAATATTTAATCAATATATCCTCTCCTACTATCTACAACATTCCTGCATCACCGTCCTGTAAGAGCCAAGCTTCCAAGCCACAATCTGTTGTACAGCCTGAATGGTTCAGTTGGTTAGAGAGTGGTGCTGATAATGCCAAGATTTCAGGACTGTTCCCTGTTGAACCAGATAATCCTCAAGGTCCCTTCCAACTCTATGATTCCTGCTGTCCCTGCTCCTGCCAGTTCTAAAATCTAAAACCACAAGACTGTCAATCACCTCTGTCTTCTGCTTTCCCATTGGAACCCATGTAAATTTTTGCCCCAAGCTCATTCCTACAATTCACTGTTCAAAGGAAAGAGAGCTGTATTTTACTTCTACCATAAACATAATTACCTGCTATAGCCTGTGGAGCTCAGAAGGGACCTTGAGAAACTGGCTGAGACGTAGACAATTTGACAGTTGGCAGTGTGTTTTGCTCAGAGTTAATACAGCATTGATATGGAGCAGGGTTTTGTTGTTGTTGTTGTTCATTCTGGAAACTTCCGCTAGAGCTTGCTTGTTATTTTAGAGCTTCCAACAACCTCCAAGGGCAAAGCCCACGAGCAATTTCATGTGGAGCTTTACATGTTTATATAAGCCAAATGGCCCATCCGTTCACCAAATCTTGCAGCCAGTGACGTATTCTTTCAAGCAGAGTAGAAATCTGATCTGGATTTGACGGAACTCCCCCTTGCTCAGAGCAGATGTCAGAGTCCCAAATTTTCCACATAGGCTCTCACCTAATAAGAATGCAGAAGCGAAGGTGCAAACTTGATACTTATTTTGCATATTTACTGAGGCGTTACCTGTAGCAGAAGTTTTCTCTTAGCAGTCTTTGCTTCTCTTAGCACTTAGCTTTGTCTCTCATTTCCATTGGATGCAGGAAGTGGCTTCCTATAAATTCTGATCATAGAAACATAACAACATGAAAAAAGCCTGCTGGATCTGGTCGATGGGTCGATGGGTCGATGGGTCATCTAGCCCAACATTCTACGTCTCCACTTGACACACTTTTCCATTGTGTGCCAAGGCACCCGAGCCACAAAGTTCCCAGGAGAACAATAAAGCACACAGACAAGTATTTTGGCTTATGGGTTCAAATAGGCCACAACTTTATTGGTTACAGATGTGAGCGGTTTGGCTTAGACATTGGGGTGAAGCCAGGCTGTATCTTGACTCCTGACCATCTGCAGAGAGTCCATGGAATGGTAAACCACTGATAGGGGCACCTGATGACTTACCTCAAATAGGGGCACCCCAAGGGGTCCCCATAGGGGCTGTGACATGGCCCTAGCCCACGTCCAGGCTTTGGACAGGATTCACACCCCGGATCCCTTTAGCAGGAAACCCTTACTGAGGAGCCGCAGGCAAAGGCTACAACCTCCCCTCCATCCAAACAAAGCCTCACCCAATGCCTAACCTCACAAAAGTTGTGACGATTGCTAGTAGGTAGGCAAAATCCAAATGGCCGGTGCCAATTTGCCAAGTGGGGAAATTCCTACCCGGCCCCAACAATATGGCACCTGACAATTGTCCATAGCAAGGTCATAGCATGAAAAGAGGGTGGAATGGGTGATGAACGAAAGAGAAGGTGCCGGTTGGCCTCGCCGTGGTCAAATTGCTGCGGCCACACCTACCCTGATTGGCTAGGACTGTCCCACAGGGGGAAGAACCCCAGCAACAATGACGTGGCCGGCATGACACAGGGGAGAGGCGACGTCCCTCTGCCCCTTAGGCTGGTAAGCTGTTGTGACCTGGCTGCCCGGCCGCAACATCGCCCACCAAGAAAAGGTGAGTGGACTTCAGAGAACTGTCCATTTATTCTGACTCTCTGCTTCCAGCTACTTTACCAATTACTGATACACAATACAACTTCTCCTTTTATTCCATGACTGCTAAGCTTACTCAGCAGCTTTTAGTGAGGTACCTTGTTGAAAGCTTTTTGAAAGTTCAAGTGGACTTTGTCAACTTGATCACCTCTATCTGTATCAGGATTACAATAACTCAAGGATTGTGTCTCGCCAGATGAACTGATCTGGACCATAGAATCATCACATGAGGCCCTTCTTCATGTTCCTCCTCCATAAGAGGTCTGGAGGGTAACAACACGAGAATGAGTCTTTTCTGCAGTGGCTCCCAATATATATCCTTAGGAGTCAGGTAATAACATTTCTCTTCAACCAGGCCTTGGGCTGATTATGTTCTTTTAAATGTGTTTGTGGGAGGGGAGGTTATGGGTTTGCTTTGTTCTTGTTTTTGTTACGTATTATGTATTATTATTTTATACATAATACCCAACAAAAACAAGAACAACGTTATGTATTATGTATTATTATTATTATTTTGAATTATGGTGCTGGAGGAGACTCTTGAGAGTCCCATGGACTGCAAGAAGATCAAACCTATCCATTCTTAAGGAAATCAGCTCTGAGTGCTCACTGGAAGGACAGATCCTGAAGCTGAGACTCCAATACTTTGGCCACCTCATGAGAAGAGACGACTCCCTGGAAAAGACCCTGATGTTGGGAAAGATGGAGGGCACAAGGAGAAAGGGACAACAGAGGACAAGATGGTTGGATAGTGTTCTCGAAGCTACCAGCATGAGTTTGACTAAACTGCAGGAGGCAGTGGAAGACAGGAGTGCCTGGCATGCTCTGGTCCATGGGGTCACGAAGAGTCGGACACGACTAAATGACTAAACAAATTATTATTTTGTCTTTTTATGCTGTGGGCCAACCTGACATCTTCGGATGAAAGACAGTATACAAATGTACTTAAAAAATGAAAAATGAAATAAAATTTATGCTTGTTGACACTCTAAAATAACTCTAATAGGTTCAGGAGAAAATACTAGCCCTTGCAGAAGCCATGCTGGCTATGCTTCAGCAAGACTTGTTCTTCTATATGTTTGACTATTTTACATTTAACAATACTTTCCACCAGTTTTCTTGGTACAGATGACAAGCTAACTAGCCTGCACTTTCCAGGATCTCTTTTGAAAAATTGGTGTTACATTGGCTCCTTTCCAGCCCATAGGTATCAGAGGCTGATCTGAGGGGCATGTTACTTATTTTTTGTTAGAAGTTCAGACATAGGTTGGTTGTTACTTTAATAATTGCTCCTCAGACTCTGCATCTTTCTGAAGTCTGAGTTCAACTTCTTCTTAAACTTCCTCCTTTGAAGTCTGTAGGGACTTCAAACTCAAGCTGAGATTAATTATACATCTGGACATGCATTGAAGGATACTCACTTCCTTCAGGTAGTAATTCCCAACTGAAGTTGTTAGAGAAAGCTACCCATGGTGAAAAGGACTGTGGGGTGATGGCTGCTGTTCTTTGGCATGAAGTTGTATGCTGTGTACTTTGCAAAGAATTGCAACTTTTGAAAACGATATGAACAGAAACTGTCAGGCTGATTGCAAGATTGTTGTAGTAAATGGGTGGAGAGCTCATCACCTCATAAATGTACAAGGATTCATGCCCCCCCCCCCCAAAAAACCCTACCCATACCAGTGGCCTTTCTAGTCCAGCATCCTGCTCTCACCAGTGTCCAACTAGATCCTCTTGAGAAGCCTACAAAGCAGGACTTGAGTGCAACAGTGCTCTCCTCACTTCTGATTCCCAACAACTGCTGTTCAATTGTATGCAGCCTCTGATACTGGAAGCAGAACATAGTAATCATGATTAGTAGCCATGCATAGCATTATCCTTCAGGAATATCTCTAAGGCCCTTTTAAAACCATCTAAGTCACAGAGAGCCAGTGTGGTGTAGTGGTTAAGAGCTATAGACTCATAATCTGGGGAACTGGGTTCTCATCTCCGCTCCTCCACATGCAGCTGCTGGGAGACCTTGGGCTAGTCACACTTCTCTGAAGTCTCTCAGCCCCACACACCTCATAGAGTGTTTGTTGTGGGGGAGGAAGGGAAAGGAGAATGTTAGCCGCTTTGAGACTCCTTCGGGTAGTGATAAAGTGGGATATCAAATCCAAACAACAACTCTTCTTCTTCTTCTTCTTCTTCTTCTTCTTCTTCTTCTTCTTCTTCTTCCCATCGCCACATCTTGTAGTGGCAGATTCTATAGTGAATTATGACCTCAAGATCAGAGCCGTAGCTGGAAGATCTTGCGCCCCTGGCAGAACCGTCCAGATTGCGCCCCCTAGTCATGGACAAATTAGCTCTTCTTTTTGCCTCTCCTCCAACCCCCCTCCATTCAATTCCTCACGCACTTCACCTTGTATTTAAAACCTTTTCTTATGAGGCAATAATCAATATTTTTATTTATAGACATATTTATGGACATATTTTAAAGCCGATTTTGCGCACACCCCTTGTCTGCGCCCCTGGCAGGGGCCTTCCTCACCACTCCCTAGCTATGGCCCAGCTCAAGATCCCTTATCTGGTCAGTTGCCTCCAGTTTATCGGTGTATATGTATGAAGTTATGAACTTCACCATGAGGTGCACAATTTTACATATACTCACATTGGGCCACACTTACCTTTTAAATGCCAGTCCCAGCAGTTCCAAGCAATGCCTTTGTGAACAAATTCCTCTGCCGTTCATGCAGCAGACCATAAACAGCTCTTAATTTGTCTTTAAACTCATCTTAGAAATCCCAGATGTTACCATGGGACACAGCACTAAATATTTAATTGCCTTTCCCTTTGCAAATTATGTACAAACAATGTACTACAGTGTCTAATTACCTCATTAAAGCATGAAGGAGCATTATTAAAAAAACAACAACAACCCAGATGGAATGACCTTTTATAATATAACAAAGGCCTAGAAACTGCATGTTATAAGGGGAAAAGTCTACATTCCCCACATAATATTGTGCGGCTTCAAGTCCACGGAAAGTGGTAACTGTGATATACCGTACCTCCTATTTCATGTCTGACACCTCATCTGTGCTCTTAGGGGAAAGGCTAAATCCATCTATTTTAGATTCATAGTCCTAAACCAGACATCCCCAAATCAGGTGATTTTTCTAGCATTCACATGCCTTTGTAGTCTTGTTTCCCCACTCCTCCTCCAGTTCAGAGGAAGAGGTGGTTAGCCAAATCTGGATCTGATGGACTACAAACTATTGCATTCATGCCAAGCTTCTAGGCTTCCCAGAGGCATCTGGTTGCTGGACTAGATGGGCCATTGGCCATTGAACCCCATGGCTTGCAGTTCTTTAGAGTCTGCAGAACCTAAGGGTGATGGTCCAGAACCAACAGAGTCTGAGCAAGGACACTGCCCCCTGAGTCTGACTCATCAGGGGATTAAGGGCTTCCTGTGCTGCAACACCTGCCGACAGGTATGTGAATGTGCCAAATGTGAGGCCACGGGAAAGGGAAGAAGTGCTCTTCTGAAGGCCAGGGGTTTGGCCCTTTAAGAGCCACTAGGGTGGTGCTTCAGATCTGGAGACTTATAAAGGCTCAGTTCACCTCAGGCCTTTGTTGGTGCAAGTTGCTCATTGAGAGATCCATGTAATGATGCTACCATCAGTTGCCTTGCCCTGTGGGTACCTTGTGCACATAGCTCAGAGCACTTAGCCACTATTGTCTCATTCCTGTTGACTCAGGGATGGTCTGCGCCATTATCAAGCCTCTTCATATGTCCATATGACAGCTGTTGGGCAATAAAAAATACATACAAATATCTCCAGAGATGTGGGCATGGTTAATTAATTATGCACCCATCCAACAGGGTTCAGTTGAGAGGAACTCAAGGGAAGAACACAGAACACACTCTCTGACATCTCTGGATATATTAAATATAGGGTTGGTGGGAAAAGTCTCTGTCTGAGTTCTAGACAGCACTTGGCAGCTCACATAATCCTGGGCTGGGGAATCTGCAGCTCCCATTATCCCTTGTCATTGGCATTGGTCATGCTGGCAGGGGCTGATGGAACTGGAGTTCAAGAACACCTGAAGGGCCACAGGTTCCCTGTCTCTAAAGAAAACAGCAGTCTGAATGAATGTATTGATTACAAGCAGTTTGCTATGTCTATCCACTGGTGTTTTTTGGGGGTCGGGGTCGGGTGGCTTATATTCAGGCCAATATGGTATATGTTGGAATTTACTCTGGATCAATATTGAATAGAATTTCCAGGACGCCATCTAGGTTTGGGTTGTTTATACGTATGAGTAAATAAAACATATATCATTAAAAACAGCACAGTCTCTGCTGCACCTCATTGTCCAAAAGGGAAAAGAAACAAACCCTAGCTAGTGCACCTGCAACCCCTGGACTCTCACCCCACACGTGGAGATCAGGGAGGCGTGTAACAATAGGACTCATCTTTCACAGGAGCCACATTGCTGCCTAGCTTGCCTGCACAGCTAAGAGGCCAGGTGTGCATCAAAGCTTTGACTGGGGCTGTGTCTTCATAAAACAAAGGCCCTGGAGAAGTGCTTTGTGTTCTCAGCTTTGAAATCATACCCTTCCAGGTCCCACAATCGCCCCTTTGCACATTTTACATTTCATGACGGAACAACAAAACCTTTTGAGGGGATGTCAGGATTCAGAGGGACTAATCGTACACACACCATATGCTCCATGCATGAAATCTATTTTTAATGGGGGAGAAGCTGACCCAGTGGCCCACTGGAGGGTTTTGTTTTGTTTTTAATTAGAAGTATAATTAAACTATATGTATTCATATTTTTTTAAGAGTATAAAAGCTTTTTGAAGATCGGTTGAATGGGATGGGGCAGGGAGAGAACTGGGGCCCAGCTTCACAAAGCAACCTGGAAGCCGATGAGAGAAGGTATATCCCTGCTAATGCCATTGTGAACAATTGGAATACAGTGGTACCTCTGGTTAAGAACTTAATTCGTTCCGCAGGTCCATTCTTAACCTGAAATTGTTCTTAACCTGAGGTACCACTTTAGCTAGTGGGGCCTCCCGCTGCCACCGCCGTGCAATTTCTGTTCTCATCCTGAAGTAAGGTTCTTAACCCAAGGTACTACTTCCGGGTTAGCGGAGTCTGTAACCCGAAGCATTTGTAACCCAAAGCATTTGTAACCCAAGGTACCACTGTAAATTGCTGTTTTAGAGTTAAAGTGTTTGCAGTTCACATCCTTAGAGGGAAGGAACCATTTCTTTGAGCTTCTTTTCAAGACTAACTGCAGACCTGCATGGCTGTACATCTGGGGATTCTCATTGCTTTTACACTGACCACCTGCTGATGTGCAGGTTGAAATTTGTCACAGTATGTGTTGGCCATATATTGGTTGCGTATCACTGTACAACTGAATCCTACATGGCTCCTTCTAGGTTGTTGTTTTTGTTTTAAAAAAGCAATACTCTTAGTAGTCCAACCAAATGTAACAAAATATTCACTCCCGCTTTTCATCTCCACCATTTATCTGATTCAGTCATACATCTTAGCATGCCTACTAGGAGTTTAATACCATCTGTAAATCATTTTCAAGTAGTTCTCCTTCAAAGAATAACATGCTGTGAACTTCAAATCACTTTTCCAGAGTTTTTCCCAGATGTTGAAATCTATATTGTGACCTATGTCTACTGCCCAGTATGTCATTGAGGCTTTGACAAGCTCGTATTTTGTTTCCGACTCTAGTAACAGATGATACAGTCGGGATTCAGGCCTCAACATGGGACTGAAACTGCCTTGGTCGCACTGGTCAATGATCTCTGGCAGGCTAGGGACAAAGGTGAGAGCTGTTTCCTAGTTCTGCTGGATCTCTCAGCGGCTTTTGACACCATCGACCATAATATCCTTCTGGACGTCTAGAGGGGCTGGGAGCTGGGGGCACTGTCATACAGTGGTTCCGCTCCTTCCTCCTGGGCCGTGTTCAGAAAGTGGGGGGGGGGAATGAGTGTTCAGACCCCTGGGCTCTCACTTGTGGGGTGCCTCAGGGTTCTGTTCTCACCCCCATGGTTTCCAACATCTACATGCAGCCGCTGGGAGAGATCATCAGGGGGTTTGGGCTGGGTATTCATCAGTATGCGGATGATACCCAGCTCTACCTCTCTTTCAAATCAGAACCAGTGAAGGCAGTGAAGGTCCTGTGTGAGTGTTTGGAGGTGGTTGGAGGATGGATGGCAGCTAACAGATTGGGGCTGAATCCTGACAAGACAGAAGTACTGTTTCTGGGGGACAGGAGGCGGGTGGGTATGGAGGACTCCCTGGTCCTGAATGGGGTAACTGTGCCCCTGAAGGACCAGGTGCACAGCCTAGGAGTCATTCTGGACTCACAGCTGTCCATGGAGGTGCAGGTCAATTCTGTGTTGAGGGTAGCTATTTATCAGCTCCATCTGGTACGCAGGCTGAGACCCTACCTGTCCACAGACTGTCTCGCCAGAGTGGTGCATGCTCTAGTTATCTCTCCCTTGGACTACTGCAATGCGCTCTATGTGGGGCTACCTTTGAAGGTGACCTGGAAACTACAACTAATCCAGAATGCAGCAGCTAGACTGGTGACTAGGAGTGGCCGCCGAGACCATATAACACTGGTCTTGAAAGACTTACACTGGCTCCCAGGACGTTTCGGAGCACAATTCAAAGTGTTGGTGCTGACCTTTAAAGCCCTAAACGGCCTCGGTCCAGTATACCTGAAGGAGCGTCTCCACCTCCATCGTTCTGCCCGGACACTGAGGTCCAGCGCTGAGGGCCTTCTGGTGGTTCCCTCGCTGTGAGAAGCCAAGTTACAGGGAACCAGGCAGAGGGCCTTCTTGGTAGTGGCACCCACCCTGTGGAACGCCCTCCCACCAGATGTCAAAGAGAAAAATAACTACCAAACTCTTAGAAGACATCTGAAGGCAGCCCTGTTTAGAGAAGCTTTTAATGTTTAATAGGTTATTGTATTTTAGTGTTTTGTTGGAAGCCTCCCAGAGTGGCTGGGGAAACCCAGCCAGATGGGTGGGCTATAAATAATATATTATTATTATTATTAATCGAAGGTTGGCTGATAGCAGACTGAGGATGGTGGGGCAGTGCCTCACTTGCCCTAATGGACCAGTCCCTGGCACTCTCTTCATCAAATGAAGCCTAACCTGGCTACTACTGCTCCTAGAACCTTTCACTGCTTGAGGAAATATGGAAAGTGGAGCACTTCGGTTCACATTCTCTTCTGCTTTCTGCATTTGTTTCTCGGCAACGAGGAGCAGGAGACAAGAGTGGTGGTGTTTACTCCTGGAAAGGCTTTTAGTTACAAAGGCAAACCAAGTCTCTCCAATGTATGTATTTGTCTCCCCAGAGGGAGCCAAGGTAAAGTTCAGGGGGGAGCCTTTTGCTCACACACACACACACACACACTGCTTGCTTGCTTGCTTGCTGTTGCGATGTTCTGCAGCTCCTGATTAAAAAAAATAAATTAATTAAAAAATCTTCCCACAGCTGTTAAATGGAAAGCTTTTAAAGGTCAAAGGCATACCTCAGGGTGGCTCTACAAGGCTTGAGGATTGGATTTTGTTGGGGTGGATGTCAATTCCCCCAGCTCCAATGAGAACAACCATGGCTTCAAGGGACAGAAGAACCCTGTGTTCAAATTTTCACTCAGCCACGAAGCTCATTCTGGGGCCAGTCCCTATTGCTCATTTCAGGTGATGTGTGGATCATACAGTTTTTATGTATGTTTACGTACAATGCAGGCTACCTTTCAAGCAATGGTTCTCAAAACGATTCATATTATGAATGAGAACTTCAACAAAATCTGGCAACATGGAGTGCTCTTGTCCAGGGTCCTGGCCTACCAGCCATTCTCTTCTCCAAAATTCTCCATTCCTCCTCCCTGCTGTTTTGCTGCCTCCTGCCAGTCAGCCAGCATTCTGTCCCCTCTGCTGAGTCCTCACTGGCTAGTTTGGGTGTTTGTCCTCCTAAAGGTTTGTTGTGCATCTGCAAATGTTGGCAGACACAGGGCATTTCTGAGTCTGCTGATCTCTCTCTGTCGTGTGTGTGTGTGTGTGTGTGTGTGTGTGTGTTGCCATATTAATAAATCAATGGCTTAAATCACAGGAGTGGCAGCCAGCTATTTTTGGAAAGTCGATGACTCACTAGCCTAGGGCTTTAGACAACCACATTCAATTGACTAGTTGGGCACCAGTATTTCCTTTAAGACATGAAAAGCTCTGGTAGATCAGACCAAAGACTTGTTTCGTCCAGCATTCTCTTTCCCAGAGTCCTGTTTGTGGGTATGCACTCTCTCTCTCTCTCTCTCTCTCTCACACACACACACACACACAGAGAGAGAGAGAGAGAGACAGAGAGAGACAGGAAGGCAATAGTATACTTCCCACGTTATTTTCAGAGAGCCAACCATCTAAATCAGTCTTCCTCAACCAGATGTCCTCTATGTCATGTTCTGGGCCAGTGTTGGAACCCATGGGGAAAACAGGAAAGCTGGAGGCAAAACTTATGGACCACAGATAGCTCCAAGCAAACAGCTTGCTCTAACAAATGCTTGGAGCAGACTGAAGCTTTTTATGCTCCCATCTCCAGACTGCCTCTTGCAGGCCCCACTCCCTTGAAAGAACTTCGAGTTATAAAGGGCCAACCCTCTGGATCAAAGATGGGCACTCTTCCTCTGTTCCATAGCCTCCCTTCTGGTCTGCTTCCTGTGCACCCAACTTGAGATGTGCATTGGGAGGCATCTGGTTCTTCAGGCTCAGGGAAAAGTGTCTGTGAAGATCCAGGCCCTGGCAGTCTGGTGGGTTTCTCCAGGAGGTCTTGTCCAACCACCCCAGGTGCAGTGGTCTCCCTATCTTCCACACTCACTTCTGAGCCATGACTAAGACCAGGCTGCCCATCTGGTGCCCCTGCAGCCTCCAACTCTGTGTCCAGATCACTCCTAGATTCAGGGGTCATGACACCGCAGGTGTTTTGGACTAAATATCACAGCTGTTATAGGCGGATGGGAGTTGGAGTTCCAAACATATTGAGGGTACCAAATTGAGGGTAACTAAGTTGGTTGGTGGCCTTCACCTTCCTGGATTTATGGAGCCAGATGGCAAACATACATTGCCAATACATTGCATTACAGTCCTCTGTGGCCTCTCTCACAGTAAGCCAGGGATTTGCATATCCTTCTAGCGAGTTCCATTTTGGCTGCCAATTCTTCTGGTGGACATGAACCCACCTCTAAGATGCTTCTGCCAGTGTCACCTACCATTTAGTTCATGGGCATATTTCTGCTGGTTTTCCTCCAGGAAATGCAGAAAGCTTCAGAGCTTCCTTTATCAATCTGGTGCCCTCCAGATATTTTGGCCTACAATTCCCACCAACCCCAGCTGTATGATTCCAGTGCTGATGGGAGCATGGCCCTGCTGGCTGAGATTGATGGGGGTGTAGTCCAAACATCTGAGGACACCATGTTGGCAAAGGCTGCTACAGGCAATAATAGGCTTCACCTCCAATAGACTTGACTTCATGTGCTTTACTCAAGGATAATGTCCAGAATAACTTGGCTCAATGACTAAACTGCAGATACAAGAAGAAGAATTGTTTCAAGACTTCTGTGACTTCTCTCCGGGGTGAGCCTAAGACATTTTGCTGCCCGAACAGGAGCAGCTCTCTTGAAGTCAAAGTGCAGAATGCCCAAATCTGGTCAAGATACAGTATTTTGGGAGGTGAGGCAGAAAATCCCACAAGACCTTATTACTCACCCTGGCAGTACAAAAAGAATAATAGACCACCAACCATTTAATTCCCTTTCATGAGGCTCAGTCAGCTTTCCTTACTTTGCGGACAGTAGGACCGGCTATGCTTCTTTGAAAGAACTTTGGAATTTGTAGTTTACTGAGGATGCAGATAATTCTTTTATTTTCACAGATCCTTAACCCTCTCTCCCTCCAGAGTTCCCCTGCAAGGAGTAACCTCTGTTTCAACAGTTTCAGTATTTAGTGTACTTGGTGTCCTGAATAGCATTGTTATGAATTTAAGGGAAGTTGAGGAAATGGCTCAGACAAATTTCTTTGAAGGCAAGGCCAGGTGGCCATTTTAGTGCTCTGATGAACACTTCAAAGGCAAGTGCCAGGTTGCAATTAGCTTCATCTAAGTGAAAAAGGACCGAGGGTGGGGGGAGAGAGGGCTGGGCTGGGCTAGGGAGTTGCTTGTGTAAGTGAGCTGTCAGCAGGCTTCAAAAGCTGGTGACAGAGATATGCCTTGCTCAGTGCTGGATCCCAAGCTGTGACTGATGGAAAAGCAAGATCTGATGGGGCATTATTGTCGTGAGTCCCTCCATCCTGTGTTCATGTTGTATAGATGTGTGAATAAAACCATATATCTTCAAAACACCGCAGCCTCCTCTGACCTTCATTCCAAGGAAATTGAACCCTGGTAAGCGCACAACCACTGAAGTCTCTCACTACTCAGAGATTGGGGCTGCATGCAACAATATCTTATGTCTTCTGTTTTGTTATCACCATAAATGACAACTCAGAATGAGAGTCACCATTAATAGAGATCCAATGTGGTGTAGTGACTAGAGTGTTGGGCTAGGCTCAAGGAGACTAGAATTTAAATCCCCATTCAGTCACAAATTTTGCTGCATGACCACCATGAATCGATCACTATCTCACAGCCTAAACAACCTCGCAGGCTTGTGGTTGTTGAAGATAAAATAGGAGGTTAAGTACAGTATATCAGCTTGAACTCCTTGGAGGAATGGCAAGATAAAAAAGTTTTAATTCTAAAAACAGACATGAACTGTTAGCAAATACAGAGCAAATCTGAAACCAGAGTCAAACACAGAATCCATGAAAGTGTTGTAAGAAAATCTGCCCCCTTTCCGTTATACGGTATTCCAGAGCCCGTATAGAGTCCTAAAGTGGGTTCCCTATCAGCAGGAGAAAACAACAGAGGCCAACCAGAGTATATTGAGAAGCAAAGCAGCTAGTAAGCCTGATCTTTATTCAAAGAACTGTTGCAACAGGGTCCCCACTCACCACACCTAGGAGGGAAGAGAATTCTGGACAATGGTGTGCAAGCCCTTATATAGCCTCGGTCCTGTATACCTGAAGGAGCGTCTCCACCCCCATCGTTCAGCCCGGACACTGAGATCCAGTGCCGAGGGCCTTCTGGTGGTTCCCTCATTGTGAGAAGTGAGGTTACAGGGAACCAGACAGAGGGCCTTCTTGGTAGTGGCGCCCGCCCTGTGGAACGCCCTCCCTTCAGATGTGAAGGAAATAAGCAGCTATCTTCTTTCTAAAAGACATCTGAAGGCAGCCCTGTTCAGGGAAGTTTTTAATATTTAACGCTGTACTGTTTTTAACACTTGATTGGGAGCTGCCCAGAGTGGCTGGGGAAACTCAGCCAGATGGGCGGGGTATAAATAAATTATTATTATTATTATTATTATTATTATTATTATTTTGAAATTGTCCACCCTGTAGTCCGTGGCCACTGGAGGAGGAAGGGGGGGCGGTGGGTGTGGCCCGCCCCAGGTGTCATCCCTGAGCCCCACCCCCGGGTGCACAGCATGTGGCTGTTCCAGGTGCTGGAGCAGCTACCTCTGCCCCTGCCCATGACCACCACCCCCCAAACATCATACATACATCACAGAAGGAGGCAGTCTACAGCAGATATCCTGCCTGCCAGGATACCTGATAATGGTCACTGATTGCATTACCTGGGCAGTCTGGCCATTCTTTTGTGATGGTTAATAATTTAGTTCCTGGATCCAGGTCACAGACTCACCCTATTTATACACAAATACGCCCTGGAGACAGGATTTGCAAGCAAAAAGACCATGGGAAGACTTTCCCCATTTGCCTCCTTGACTGCAAAGGAATATTTGAGGTCATTGGGAGGGTCAAAATGACTTCAGGATTGCTCTCCTGTATTATTTCAGACACATGGTTCATATATTTAGATATGTGTGCATTTATGAATATTTATTCTATGTTTGAGACCTTAAAATTCTTATAACAAACGATTTCAAACAGTTGTGTGGTTCCTCCACACATTCAGGAAGCCCATCTCTGTTTGCTGGCATCAAGTCCAGGGCATAAGGGGCGAGAGGCAACCCATTGTGCAACAACATAATTAACTCTAATTATATATGTTGAAGTGTGACTCCATAATTGCATGGGGTCACGTTGTGCTGCTGAGATGATTCATTGATGTTTCAGCTCCTGCTGAACCCCTCCCCCAAGTTATGTCAAATAAAGAACTGAGATGAGAAATGGAGGGTGGTTGTCCCCAGAAATCTCTTAGGAACCCAGAAGAACCCAGAGAGGAACATTCTTCCCAGTAATTGTTGCTTTGCAGTCCCAGAGATGTTTTATCTTTGGTTATTTCCAGCAACAGCACACTGTTGGAGTTAAATAAATGGTACATGGCCCAGGCAGAAGTGTCTTAGAAGGCATTCAGGATCCAGACACCAGGTACCAATGGTGAAAATCTTCCCAAAGTCTTCGCTCTGAAATTAGGAGACCGTGGCTCCAGCTGAATCCAATGTTCTCTGTTCCCCCAGGCTCAAGACAGAGGTTACCTGCCAGCGGATTTTTGCAGCCTATGAACTGACACTCTCCCAAGCCAGTTTGCTTTTTCTGACAGCCAATTAGCAAGCCAACAGGGAGAATGTTTGTTTAAATACAATAACAGGTAGATTTTCACACACATTCCCACCCCAACTCATAGAGGGGTAGGCTGAGGATGCAAGCTGATCGCTTTACAAGACCTCATTAGTTGGGTGGTTCTGATGACAAGGAAGCTGTCCCTTGTGCAATTACCATTCATTAGCCACACTGAGTGCAGGAAGCATGTGCCATAAAGAAGACATTCAATCAAGCTCTTGCCAAATGCCATCAGCGCTTATGTACCCTGATTCCATTTGATCAAAAACCAGGGCAGAGAACTGTTCATGTTCATCGGTGCTCTCTAAGGAACTTCTTATCCAGATAATTAAGACATCTCCCCCATAGATGTCTCCTAACCTCAATTCCCTCTCTTTTGTTCTTTCTGTTTGTCAGCCTTCAAAAATAATTGAAGAGGGCCGGCCCAAACATTTGGCAAAGTGAGGCAACTGCCTCAGGCAACAGAAGACATGAGTGATGGTGGTGGCAGCATCAACATCTCCTTGGCTGTTAATAATAATAATGATGATGATGATGATGGTAAATTATTTATACCCCACCCATCTGGCTGGGTTTCTCCAGCCACTCTGGGTGGCTCCCAACAGAATGATAATGATAATGATAATGATAATATATAATGATAATGCAATAAAACACCAATGATTAAAAACTTCCCTAAACAGGGCTGCCTTCAGATGTCCTCTAAAAGTCAGTTGTTTATTTTCTTGACATCTGATAGGAGGGAGTTCCACAGGGCAGGCGCCACTACCGAGAAGGCCCTCTGCCCCCACGGTGGCCAGTCTCCTTTGCTGGAGTACAAAGTTGTGCATTCATTCATTCATTCATTCATTCCATAATTTTTTTAGTGTAAAAGCAAAGCTTGAAAGTGGTTTACAAAAACAATAAAGCAATGAAATCAACTGTAAAAAAAGCAGTTTGAAATTGTTGTATTTAACTTTGTAATTTCCCCCCCAATGAAATATCATTAAAACCAATGGCAAACGAAAAACTGGATTAAAACACATGTCAACATACTACATATCTGGACAGGCATGCCTAAACAAATATACTTTTAGTAGACACTGAAAAGAGGTGCCCATCTGATGTCAATGGGCAGAGCATTCCAAAGTTTGGGTGCTGCCACACTCAAAGACTGATTTCATACAAATGAGGAATGAGTATTATGGGGCACCTATAACAGCGCCACCTCACAGACCAAAGCAGTAGGGTGGGCATACATGGAGTAAGACAATATTGCAAGGAATTTGACAATCTCGCAATATATTTTACACAGTTGGGTTGCCCCTCCACTCCAACTAGTCTACTACAGTATCTCAGATATCTTGGGACATGGGGGCCCATTGGATAACTTCAGATTTGTAAAGCAAATCCCTTCGCTCCACACAAAATGAATCGCTCTGTGGATTATTTGAAAGGAGACGCCATTAAAAACAAATAAAAAGCTGGCCTCAGAGTAATATTAGAGAAATTGATGTTGTTGTTCCTTTCCTGGAGAATATTAACATTTGGTTTATTGGAAATGATTTCACAAAGCTGACATTTCAAGGTTGGTAAGTCCCCATAAATTAAGGAATTCCAATAAGGGAGCATACCAAGCAGTGGCCTTTCCACTTGGAAGAAATTTCAGAAGAGATTAGCGGGGTTCTTATGTATCCTCTCTCCCTCCTGTATCCCCCCCCCCCCCCCGTTTACAATACACACTTCCTTAATCTGCTGACATCTTGATGAGATGCATGCAACCATTGATCTGGATTGGAAGTCCAGTTGAGTGCAAAAACAAAACTTCCAAGTGGTTTAGAAAAAGAATAAAGCAATGAAATCAACATTAAGAAAAAGCAGTTTGAAATTGTTGTATTTAACTTTTTTCATATTTTTTTTCATTCAAATATCATGAAAACCCATGACAAGGTGTTGAGTTTTCTAGGGCTAAGGATCAGAGTGGGACAGGGGTGTAGTGCAGGGAGGGCCAGGGGGCCCATAGCCCCGGGTGCATGATTTTGAGGGGGTGCAATCCAGGTGTCCCCACACAGGGATTCCCACCCTGCCTGCCACCTAGGCCCGGGAGCCCGGCCTGGCCTTGCCACCTCACCCACGGCCCCCTCACTGAATGGCCGCCTGGTCAGCGCTGGGGGGATGCATCTGCCAAGGGCTATGTTGGCTGGACAGGCTCCCCCCCATGTGGGCAGGCATTACAGTGCAGCCTCATGAACTCTCCATGCCCTGCGCCTGCCTGGCGGCAGCAGTGACAACAGTTAGACTGGCATGGTGGGTTTCGTTCACCCTCTGCACCCAGCCCCTGGTACTGCCTGGTGCGTGCACACATGCGCCAGGCACAAACAAAGGATGTGATGTCATGTGGGGTGGGCTTGCCTGTTGGGATATTCCGTTCCACCTTAAGAACAGACGTGTGAAATTGTTGTATGTCACATGCCTGTTTACACTCCAGCACAGCTTGCTGGGAACTTCCGTTTGTGTACAGCTTTTGCTTATGCTGCTTGCTTTGGACACAAAAGGGATCAGACATGTTTTCCTTTCGCCCTGATGTATGCTGAATAAACTGCTTGTACATATGCTCACGCATACTCTCCCGGCACTTCTGTTGCGTTGTGTTATCTTTGCTGATTAGAGCGTGCCCTAGCTTTTGAAGTTCGGGTCGCTGATTCATGCAGCACCAAGGACTGGAGTTTGTCCGGTACACCGGCTGGTGGGATGGACCAGCTGGGGGCTTGCCAATTGCCCCCGCTTCCTTGATTTACAAAGCAAGCAAAATAAAGTGATTAGCAGGGCAGGCTCCCAATTATACTGCCAATATCTGTCTTCACGCAGGCTGAAGGCAAGGGCTCCAAGGGCTGAATCTCAAGGGCTCCGAGATTAAATACAAGAGGTAAAGGTGCTGGAGCAATAGCTAAAGGGTAAGAGCTCAACTCTGGCCCTTGGCTGAGCCCCCTGGAGGAGTGTCTGGTAAACTCAGACAAATTTGGTCAGGGTTGTTTCTCAGAATATGCCTGCTTCTCTGCAGCGAACCAGATCTGAAGCTGTTGCATAAAGGAACAGTTAGTACCAGTTGCTGGAGAATAGAGGAGGAGAAAGTGTTCGTGTGCTCGAATCCTGCCTGCAGGTTTCCCAGAAGATGCATCTGGCCAGTCACGGTGAGAAGAGGATCCTGGCCATTGGCCTGATCCAGTCAACAGGCTCTTCTCATGTTCTTAACAGGCCTCTGAATTCCTCTTCCTCACCAAGAGTATGTCAGTGAAAGTTCTACTCAGTATTGATCCAGAGTGGATTCCAGTGTATAATAGGCAGGATAAAAACTTAAGCACGTTGCAGGATTCCCCCCTCCCAAAAAAAAATAGACCAGAGGCAATTGTACTTCATCTAGCAGAGTTTTACCACTACTGAAGGCAAATGAGCATAATGGTCACAAATCCAATACATTCAAGATTGGCCATGTCCATAAGAAATCCCGTTGCAGCAGACTTAACTCAGACTTACAGCAACTTATAAAAAGACTAAACCTTAACACTATCTATGTACAGAACACCACACCAGAAGGAAAAGAGATACAAAGAGAAAGTGTGAAACCCGGGCTCCTTCTGTCCCTGCTATCAGCCTGACCTTGACAGAAAAAGATAACAGAACCAGTTTAAACCAGTTGTACTCAGCTTCTCTGAAGGAATAACCCAAACATCATGAAGTTTCTTTCACACAGAGAAGCTTCCAGAATCCTCTTGAATTAAGTAGAATAGGAAAGATCTCTACACATCACATCAAGACTTTCTGCACTGAGAAATGCAAACTGACAGAGTATTCAGTCATGATGGGTTGCTGTACCCTGCCCTGGCTCCCATGCAGATGAACAGCAGGTTGTGCGTACATATTTTAATGAATATCTAAGCTCATTTCCCTGAATTGTATTAGGATAATTCAAGCTATTTCTAATCAGCAACAAAACTTGGATTGCTCAAGTCAATTCAGATCAAATAGAAGCCACTTATGGACCTGATGAGTTCCAACCCCCACCTCTCTATGAGCCTCAAGTCCTCCATGACCTGTGAACCTTCTTCCCCCACCTCTCATGATCCTCCAAGAATGCCAGTTCTACAGCAGGTGCATGGGGAAAGAGAGATAGAGCCACTCCCTCCTGTCCATCACTGGCACCAGCAGACAACTCATAGCATAAGGAACCCATAGTGGCTAAGGAAGCATTTGAACCAGTTCCCTGGCTTGAGGCTCCTAATTCCATTACCTGGTTGGATAGCTCTCCTTCTGTCTCCTGAACATTTCCTTGTACCTTCATTTCTGACCCTGCTGGTCAGAGGGCCTATCTGAGATGGCTATCGGAGATGGGGCATCTGAGCATTGCATAGAGTGGGGCGAGTTCTTACGGAGTTCAGAATAAAATTGGAGGAATACGCAGGTCATGCTTGAAATGAGCATTTCAAGTTGCCGAGTTCCATATTATGAGCCCTATGGCTGATGAATAATTTTCAGTAGTATTTATGCTGGCTGCCACAGAAGGGAAATTGCCCTATTAAGAGAATCTTGCACTATGAAATTGCAAGCACCATCCCTACGTCCCCAAGCATTTATAATTCTGAGAAAGGGGACTTTATCTAGCAAATGTTTGGGACACTTTGCTGGATGCTGGCAAGCTTCCAGATTTCTGTTTCCTGTGTGGAATAGGGTTGACTCCGCAGGGACTTATTCCTAAAGCGAGAGAGAGGTTGGGTGCTGGGGCTTGTTCTTTCCTGGAAGACGCATTCTCTGGCCTAAGAACAGAGGGTCCATCTAATCAGAGGAATATGTCTTACTCTGAGAGCTTAGTCACGCATACCTTTCCTCTGCTCTTTCCAGGCATGGTCTGCAATTTATATATAGCTTTGTGTCCGAGTGCCCCCCCTTTTTTGCTCTGGAGCTTTCCCCAGGAAAACTCACTCTTTAAAGCTCAACCAGAGCAAACGTCAGTCCATGGAAAACTTGATGTTTTATCTGATCCAGCTTTAAAGAGCTGGATTTCACAGGAAAAGCTTGGAGGAAAGAAAAAGAAAGGAAGGAAGGTACGAAGGAGCTCAGACATGTAGCATTACAGTGTGAACCTATGCCTGGAAAAAACAAGGAAAAGAGTAAGTGTGGATGAGCCACACTACTGGTCCATAAAGCTTAGCATTGCTTCTGCATTGAGTGGTGGTGGTTCTCTGGGGCTTGGAGATTGGGGTCTCTCCCAGCCCTACCAAGAGATGCTTCCAGGAATTGAATCTGCAACCTTCTGCATGCACGCACATTCCTCTCCACTGAACAGCAGTCTTTCCCCTAGTCCGGCATCTCATTTGCCGCAGCCCTAATGCATACCATATGCGACACTTCGTGATTTTTCATACCATATGAAATTATCCCCACTGCCGTGTCATTTGCGCAAGAGAGTCCCCCGTTAGTATACGGGCTCAATTCATTTCCACCTGACAGCCAATGGAAAATGGTTTCCTGGCTCCAGGAGGTGTGTAAAAGAGGCTCGATATTTTCAGACCTTGATAAACCTTTCCTCCCAACACTGTTTTTGGCTAATTAACTGCCTTGGGTAGCTTGGAACTGATCCTGCTTTTTGGATGCTGCCACTTCCTTTCCGTTGCACGCAAACTCTCAATTATTTCCCAGTGTCTAAACACTGTCCCTTTTCCAACAGGCTAAATTGCTTTGCCAGTGGCTCTTTGGATCTGTGTGGAAAGGGGGATGGAGACAGGCAGAGCCGGTCAGCATAATATAGTACTCTACTCTGTCGCCACTGCGTCTGCGTAATTGTCTCCTACATTTATGATCTGGCTTGAACTGCGGCAATGTGAACACATTTTTTTTCCTGTCCCAGACACTGTGTAATTGAATTGGATGGCAAAAAAAAAAAAAAAAAATAGTGGAGAGAGGAAGAGAGGGGATTTATAGTGAATTATAGCTGATGATTTTAAGGCCTCAACTGGGGGGGAAGCTGGTGCATTAACACCCAGAATGCCCCATTGTTATAGTTTCACTGTCAAGCTAAGTTTAGCAACAAAAGACTTGGCTCTCCAGCTCTTTGCATTGTCGTCCCTTTCTACAGGGGTTGGCCATTACTTATTGATACCATGCCATCCACACGCGTGACACTTGGCAGAATAACAAATGCAAAAAGAGGAGCTTATCAGCTCCATTTGGGCAGCAGGGGAGATGCCAGAAGAAATAAGAGGAACCTGTCTGGTGAATCAGGTCAGGAAGGCCCATCTAAGCCCAGCACTCTGAGTTAGTTCACACTTCTGTGTGTCTACTGCTTGATCCCCACTTTCCAGGTGTCAGTCCGAGTGGTTTTCCCCTTGCCCCACTCCTTTCCCAGAGAAAACCCACTCTTTAGTGCTAAATTGGAACAAACATCAATCCAGAGAAAATTCAAATTTCTCTTTGCTCCCATTGAGCGCTAAATAGTGGTTTTCCCTGGGGGGAAGCAGTGCGACAAGGGGAGATGTGTTCAAGGGGATGCTGCCTTCAACAGTGGAGAGGAAAAATGGTGCTGAAATAGCTTTTCCTGTTCCTTATGGTCCTCCAGACCACCTCACTGCTAGAACAGTTTCAGTCACCTCTTCCATTGGACTGAGTATGGAGGCCTAAAGGAGTCAATCTCTGGAATGAACTAGCCATTTCAGCCCAGCAGCTGGATGTTACTCCCTCTGTGGCTCTCTCACCAAATGTTTCTGGCAGGGCTGTGTGCTGAGTCTCTAATTCCCTCTGTGGCCCCAATCAGTCTACCACTAGGTGGTTTTGTTTGAAAATGTTGAAACCAAGAAGACAAAAACTCCAAGAAAGAATGGGGGAAATTTATAATTTATTTAGGAGACCGCTGTAAGCAGATGAAAACATTAGCAGGATTTTAACCTCACTTGTAATGTAAGAAACACTATGGATAATTTAGATAGAAATAAAATACAGATTATGAAATAATATGCATTTGGAAATGTTGACAATAGGACCCATGGAAAGGATGGAGGGAAGGCTCAAGATTCAGAGAAATCTCTTTATATGGATACGTATTTGGTATTGTAATAAATTTATACTTGTAAAATCAAATAAAAATGATTTTTTAAAAAAAGAAAAAGAAAATGCTGAATAAAAAAGATTACCATGAGAAGTTGTGGGGAGGGGAGACCAGGTAATTCTTCAATGCCCCAGAAGAAATTCAAATGAGAAGATTTTAGAAATAAAATTAGGTATTTGAGTCCGACAAAATTAGCAAAAATGTATAAAAGTGGATCAAATGTATGTTGAAAATGTATGGAAAAGGAAGGTACATTTTATCATATGTGGTGGTCCTGTAGAAAAGTAAAAGACTTCTGGGAAATGATATATAATGAATTGAAAAAGATGTTTAAGATAACTTTCATCAAAAAACCAGAAGCTTTTTTACTTGGATTAACAGGGGATGGAATTCCAAGGGACTTAAAAGGACTATTTATGTATGCAACAACAGCCACAAGAATGCTGCTTGCCCAGAAATGGAAAGAGGAGAAGGTACCAACAAAAGAAGAATGGTTAACTAAGATGATGGATTATGCCAAAATGGCAAAGATGACCGTGAAGATCAGAGATCAAGATGAAAAAAAGTTTGAGCAGGAATGGAAGAAATTTATAGACTATTTAAAAGACCACTGTAAATACCATATTTTTCACTCTATAGGACGCACTTTTTCCCCTTCAAAAATGAAGGGGAAATGTGTGTGCATCCTATGGAGCGAAGAAGCCATAGCCCCGCGACCCTCTCCCAGCTGGAGAGGTGACGCGCGGCTATGGCAGGAGCCTCTCCGCTGCTCCCCGACCTGCTCTTTGGGGCTGGTGGTGGGCTTCCCCCCGCCAGCCCCAAAGAGCAGGTCGAAAGGAACCTGAAGCCTGGAGAGCAAGAGGGGTCGGTGCGCACCGACCCGTCTCGCTGTCCAGGCTTCCAAGGTAGCCGCCTGAAGGCAACTGAACGCACCTTAAACGGCACCCTGTTTTAGAGGGGGAAAACAAGAGGGGGAAAAGTCTCCCCTTCTCTGCGCAGCGCCTCCTGCCGCTTCGCTGAAGGGGCTCTGGGCAGAGAGGGGGAGATTTTTTTTTTCTTGTTCTCCCCCCTCTAAAACAATGTGCGTCCTATTGTCCAGTGCATCCTATAGAGCGAAAAATATGGTATATTAAAACGTTAGCAGGTTTGATATAACATTTATGTAATTATACAACTGGAAATTAAGATAAGTAAGAGGGAAAACAAAGAGTTTGGAGAAATAAAATGAGATGCAAGAAATTATGGGAGAGAAAATTGGAGTCCAGGGAAGGCCTGGGGGGGGGGGAGAGTCTATATTGTGTTTTTTGGAAAAGTATTGAATTATTGTGATTATAAAATTTGAAAATAAAATATATATTTTTAAAAAAAGAGAAGATATTTAGAAACATCTTTCCATTGGGGTCTAAATCCATAGTTTGTTGCCAATCATGCAGAGCCACTTTCAGACAGCATGAAGGGTTTTCCTCCGGTGCTTAGAGTTCTTTCCCCACCATTTAGTCCATGGAAAGCATCAAATCCCTCTTGGAATCCAGCCCCCTCTTCAATCACACCACACTGATACTTTTCCACTCTTCCCAGCATGGAAGTAGGGCTTCATTTTTTATTTGCTCTCTACCTCCTAACATCATGAAACCTCTCCAGTGGGTAGTGAACTTGCCAGGTTCTTCAATGCATCACGTTTGCTACCAGAAGTATTTCAATAATTATCTTGCCGTGCAGGCAAAGACCGGCTACTGGGAGCCCTGAATTACAGCCAACATGAGGCCCCTGATAATGCCCGGCAGCCCTTTTCCTCTTCTGTGCAATACTGCGAATGGAGACAGGAGGGAAATTAGGTTCGTTGTTGTATTGGTTCCCTGTGGCTCCTCTCTCTGGTGTTAGAAGTTAACATTAATTTTCAGGGAGCCCATTTTCTTCTTCTCTTCTGGCCTGTTGGCGTCTTAATGGGATTAGAAGAACTGTCTCCAAAGAACTAGCTCATTCCTGAGAGCGCGGTACAACTGGTGGCAATTTTGTCCTCCAGATTCAAAGAGAAATTTGTATTCATATCTATGTTAGCATTTGACGATCTACAAAGGACCTCTCGTGCCATTGCCCTTCTAAGAAGGGAGAGCAGGGACCTTGAAGTTCCCAACAGCTGTTAATCAAGCAAGCAAGCAAGCAAGCACACAGGTCACCTTTGTCACAGTCAGGATGCCTATGTCCTGGCCAGGCCTGCACACAATCTTGTTTGTCCTCAGTAACCAAAATTATATTATCCCATTTTTCCCCAGCCAGAATGGCCAGTGGTCAGGAATGATAGGAACAGCAACATTGGGACGGCCACAGGTCTCCCTACCCCACCTCGTTTTAAATTCTCATTCCTATAATTTTGTCTATAGCACTGTGAACATTACAACTGTGTTGTAATTGGACAGTAAATAACTTGTCTTGAAATATCACTTCCATATACAAGCAGAAAAGTTGTTTTCCTTCATTTTCAAGGAATCGTACAAAACAAAGTGGCACTAATAAAGAAAAGTTCCAGGGTGGCAACAGAAAGCAAACTAAAAATGCTTTTGCAGTTCATCAAAACTATCCAGCAATATCAAGTTATAGGAAAACTGGTGCTATAAACAGTAATCCTTCTAGCTGGTTAATTGGTTTGGCAACTTCCCTGCACGTGAGGTGTGATGCTAATTATTTCCCCCAAGAGTTAAATGATAACTAATCAGAAGCAGCTACAGGAGAGCTATGAGATTCAGGTGAGAGTCAGATGCCTTGTCAATCCCAGCAGGTATATAAGAGGACGACCCAGCCTGCCCAGGCATCACTCAATTTTGTTTATAACTCAATTTTGTTTATAACACTCTTCCATTTTCTTCTAGCTGTGAGGGTGTGGGATGGGGAAGAGTCTCACAAGTAGTGTAGCCTAGGGCCTCTCTTCATCTAAATCCGGCCCTGATTGCCCCCCTCTCCCCCACCATTTTTACTGAAATGTAGCCACCCTCAAACCTTGACAAACCTTGGAAAGGGGGCATCTTCCTTTGGGGGGGGGGAGCTAACTTAACAATGCAAAGGTCGTCTCTCGCCCCAACCCCATGAAGTCCTTAATTTGCAGCTTTGCCTTTCGACGCACGTAATGCACTCAGTCCACAAGCATTTCAAATGGGCGCCCGTGACATTTCAATGCCAAACCTTTAGAAATCTACTTCCTCACACTTTACAATCTAAACATCTACCGGAATCAATAACCTCTGAATGGCAGGCAGCCCTTTGCCAGGCAATAATGTTGCAGTCTGAATTTTCTCTCTCCTTGTCAATTTCTCACTAAATAAACCTAATGGTCTCAGGACACAACACCGGCATCACAAATTCAGTTTTTGTTCAAGCGTTAGTTTCTGAGAAGCTGCCAGATGACTCCTTTAATGGCTGGCAAAGGTGACACATTGTGTGTGAATACACCTACTGTTGTTTTGTAAACAACAACAAACCCACTGTCATCTGGAATCCAGCCTGCATTGATAAATTTTAAAGGGGACAAATGTGTAAACTTTAAACTGTAAAGGTTTAATTTAATAACCTGGATATTGGATCAAGTCCCAGGAAATGTGTAAAAGAGCCTTGGAAACCATAAGGCTACTTTGGGGCTCTATACAAAAGGATTTCGGAGATCCTAGCAACTGGCATCTATTAAAGAGCTCAGCAAAAATCAATAGAGAAGACTTCAGTGCCAACAATAATTTCATATTTCACAGAGCTGGGCAGCCAAGATTATAACCTTGGAATCTAACACTGCTTTTCCACTGGCACAATTTGTCATTGTTCTTTCTTTTCCCATTCTTTTTCTTTTGTTCTTCTGTACTTTCCCATGTTCCCCTCCTCACATACACATAACAAAAATAAAATAAAATACAAACAAAGAGGGCAAGTTGCGGGCATGAGAAAACATGTGAGTCAACCTCCCCTCGGTACATATGGAGTGAGGTGGCGTGAAAAGAATTTAGGGTGGTTTTAAAAGCTTGGAGTCTTCCTCTCAGAACGCTTGAAAGGTCTGCTATTATCTCTATGTGGTAGCATTTATTGATAGCCAGCAGCAAGGTACAGTGGTACCTCAGTTTTCAAACAGCTTAGTTCACGAACAGCTTGGAACCTGAACGCTGCAAAACCAGACGTAGGTGTTCCGGTTTTCCAACTTTTGGGGGGTACCTTCCAACCCTATGATTCCATGAGTTATTTTGTTCTGTGTTGCATTAGTTTCATAGGCTGAAAGATGGGGGGGGGTCTAAATTATATGTATAATTTATCTCACACACCAGAGCCGGCCAACCCATGAGGCAGGCTAAGGCAGCTGCCTTGTACTGTGGAACCACAAAGGTGGCACTCTCACGGGTGCCCTGCCCACCTTGCTGCCTCTGCTGCTTGCAAATAGGCAGAGGAAGCAGTGGTGGCTAGATTCCGGTGAGATCCCACTGGAACCTGCCATGGCCACTTCACAGACATAGCCACACAACCCAGGGAAAGGAGCCTTTAGGGTGGTGGCACAGCAGTAATGGGGTAGCAGCTTCCCATGTCGCCTTGACACACACACAAGGCTGCAATCCTATTGTGGTGATCACACAGGGTCCCACGATGTTTCACCGCCTATTGATCCCTGTGCCACCACTTTATTTCTCGCTGCCACCACCAGGCCCTTCCTGGGACAATACTGAGTCCAGTCAGAGTTAAATTGAAACATATTGCAGTTTATTTAACAAGTGTGTGGTTTCATAAACAATATCAGTCAATTACATTCATGGGGAGCCTATCCAGACCTACAACTTGCGCTACCTGCTCTCACTCACTAAACCAACTCTCAGATATTTACTTGTCTTCCCAGCCCCTAACTGTTCCGGACTCAGCCTATTTCGTTACACTAACTCAACCTACCCACAACTCTAGCCCAATTCACTCCCACTCCAACCAACCACCCAACTCCCAACGAACTCCTCCCCGAACTCCCCCTTTTGCCCCTCCCAGAGCTGGTTTTATAGTCCCACTGACTCCACCCCCCTGGGTCCTGATTGGGCAACCTGTTTAACTATTTCACCTCCAGCACTTTCTCCTATGTTAATGTCACACCTATATTCACTTAACTGACAATAATCCCTTTGAACCAAATGGGGCTGTGTCAGGTGTCAGAGGATCCAACCCCCTCCCCCCCAGTAGGTTGCCAGGAATGGATAAGACAAGGAAAGTTCTTACCAAGGCTTTTTATTCAATATTCAGAGAGAGGCTTGGAAATGCAGCCTCTTGGAATAATGGCATTGTCCCGAGTAAATCTCCACCCCATCCGTCTCTCCCATTATGCAACATCGCTACAGGTGTTGAGCTGTACCTTCTGCCTTTGAACTCTTTGCTCTCCTACTTTCAAGGTGCACCGGGTTCTGGGAGGGGGGGGGTCATGCATGCTTTCTAAAAACACTGAGTCCATCAGCTGTCTCCCCCCGGTGCTTCTTCTTCTTCCTCCTCCTCTCCCATTATTTCCCAGCTTTGCCCCTCATCTGCCTCTGAGCTGTAACCTCCCTCAAACCCCTGTTGTAATTCTGAACTGTCTTCTTCTTCTCTGGAAGGGTCAGGCTGGGGGGGCAGTTGTGGTGATCACACAGGGTCCCCCGGACGTTTCACTGTCTATTGATCCCTGCGCCACCACTTTATTTCTCGCTGCCACCACCCAAGCCCTACCTGGGACAATACTGAGTCAAGTCAGGGTTAAATTGAAATATAAACTTTTGTTTATTTATTGCAGTTTAACAAGCGTGTGGTTTCATAAACAGTATCGGTCAATTACATTCATGGGGTGCCTATCCAGTCCTATAACTTTCGCTACCTGCTCTCACTCACTAAACCACCTCTCCAATATTTACTTGTCTTTCTAGCCTCTAACTGTTCCTGACTCAGCCTATTTTGTTACACTAACTCAACCTACCCACAACTCTATCCCAATTCACTCCCACTCCAACCAACCACCCAACTCCCAACGAACTCCTCCCAAAGCTAGTTTTATAGTCCCTCTGACTCCACCCCCCTGGGTCCTGACTGGGCAACCTGTTTAACTATTTCACCTCCAGCACTCTCTCATATGTTAACGTCACAGCGGTCTCCACCATTCCTCCTCTGCACAGTCCCTGACAGGCATGTAATATAGGACTGGTGCATCTTGAACTTTATCAATTCAAAGAATCCCCAGTTGGTCATTAGGCAAATCATATTGGCTGCCATTGCTTGATTGCGTTTGCATACAGAATGACTTCTATGCGCCTGTGCTTTTTCCAGTCATATGTTTACATGTGCGTTTTAATTAATTTCTGTCCAACAGGTTGCTGATTAGTTTATGGATACAGTAGCATTTAATTGGTCCTTGCTAATAACATGGACCTGCTGCTTCCCTGAAAGAAATGTTTGGTCATCACAGCTTGGAGGAGTCACAGAAAGGAGGAAAAATAAACCACAGGCAGGTCTTCTTCTTTTCTGTTTCTGTTTTAAAATAAGAATAAACTGCAAAGTGTGTTTGAATATTAATAAACACACCATCTCCCCACACCTATCTCACATTCCTGACATCTGAACAGTTCAGCTGAATTAAAAACGCAAAAAGAAAGTTAATAATGCAGTAGTTTAGGTGGGAAAATAATAAGTCTGATGTCTAACTGCAAATAAGAAAAGACTGAATTAATTATTGCTATTAACATTCAAATTATTCTGCAATTTAAAAATGTGGGTTCACATGTGGAGAGCAAGTACATGAGACAACTGAACTTGAAAATAGGATGGATAAATAAGCAAAAGCTTGCCAGCTCGCCAGCTCGCCACCACCTTCACATTTTATGCAATTCAGCCTAAGCCCAAAAGAAACGCTCGACATTTTTTGTGCATGGGGAATAGTTGTTCATCTGTGCAGGGAATAATTAAGTCTGGAACATGTTATCAAATTACTGTGTTACTCTTGCTACATCTCCCAAACAAGCAAAATATTGTCGTTTTTGCCCCAGAGACTTTATGGGCTTCCAATAGAGCTGAATGTTGGAAGATTAAGGGCAGATTAAAGAAAAGACTTAATCACAAAGTGCCAAGTTAAATTATGGAAGGCACTCTCACAAGAGGTAGTGATGGCCTCTAACTTGGATGACTCTAAAAGAGGAATGGAAAAATGCATGGAGCATAAGGCTATCAATGGATGCTAGCAATGGTGCCCATGTTCTACCTCTACTATTGGTGGGAACTATAAGTGGGTAGGGTGCTGTTGTGCTCAGGTCCTGCTTTGGGGGATCCCATAATAGGCATCTGGTTGGCCACTATGAGGACAAGATGCTGGACAAGATGAGCCATTGGCTTGATCCAGGAGGGCTCTTCTTATGTATGATTGTTTAATTAGCACTAGTGGTGTTGCATGAACTCAGATGGCACTGTGGTCTAAACCAATGAACCTCTTGGGCTTGCTGATCGGAAGGTTGGCAATTTGAATCCCTGCCACGGGGTGAGCTCCCGTTGCTCTGACCCAGTTCCTGCCAACCTAGCAGTTCAAAAGCACGCCAGTGCAAGTACATAAATAGGTACCGCTGTGACAGGAAGGTAAATGGTCTTTCATTGCGCTCTGGTTTCCGTCACGATATTCTGTTGCACCAGAAGCGGTTTAGTCAAGCTGGCCACATGACCTGGAAAGCTGTCTGTGAACAAACGCTGGCTCCCTCAGCCTGAAAGCTAGATGAGCAGCACAATCCCATAGTTGTCTTTGACTGGACATAACCATCCAGGGGTCCTTTACCTTTTTTTTACCTTTTGCATGGATATTCCACGCATAATCAGTGTGTGTGTGAGAGAGAGAGAGGGAGGGAGAGAGAGAGAGAGAGAGAGAGAGAGAAATCATGGTCCCTTCTCTGCACTGTGTGTGCATGCACATGCAAAAGACGAAGAAGGGAAAGGAAAACTGCACAGTTTTGCATGCAGCCTACAAGAAGCAGGATTGAGGTTTTATGGAGAGCAGGTTCCATCCTATTGCTTTGGGAACTGTCACTTCTCCAGGCTGTAAATAAAGAAGTATTAAGAACATGCCATGGAACTCCAATTCTTGCTCCTCACAAAGAAGATGATCAATGAAACAGTCTCCCATTTAGGAAACCAAGCATTATGTTCTGTTTTCCAAACCACCACACTCCTGGGTCATTGGCACTTGTTGTGTGAATTGGTGTCAACAATGTGCAGGGCTCTTCATATTGTCAACTAAGGAGTGTCTGATTGCGCCTTCGCAGGGTGTAACAGGGCAGGAGCCATCATCATTAGGCCATTCATACCTCTCTCTCACACACAAACTCCCTGGCTGCAATTCTTTTTATGGATACTGTTTTGCAGATTAACCATGTAAAGCGAGAGTCTGCAAAAATCTATTTTGCCCATGGACTGTGTTGCGTGTTCTGCATATTTCTGCACTGGAATAAAACACAGAGATGAGCTCCTAAGACCTCCCATCCCCAACCTTGAGATGCTAAGCCGGTTTGGGCTTTATCAAACTTGTCATTTTCTGTTGCTCCTAAGCTGTTTAATCCATGCGCTCGATGCAAAAGCTCCCGCTAGGAGGAAGAAATGTTTCTGGCAGTGGAACCCCGCCTGTCAGCTTCCACTACAGCCTGTCTTCTGCATTATGCTGTGAAATAGGAAATTATCCTTAATACGGTAGGGAAATCAAACGACTTAGGATGCCTATCAAAGCGTCTAATAGAGAAGAACATCTGCTTTGCTGGCTCCTTTTCTTCTTTTCATGTTTCAAACTCTTTTACATTTAAGGGATGACAAAGACAAGAAGCTCCATTTCCCAGAAAACAATGAGGTGCGTCCCATAGGCGATTGCACCAACTGTCGGGGGACCACAACCAAGATAACAGGAAACACTGTTGGAAAACTGATTTAGTGAATACAACGTCATTTCACCTTATCTGTTCCCTCTGCCTTACACTTCTCAGGGACAAGCAGATAGGAAAGTTTCTACGGGACAGCCTGAAAGCAGAAGCCGTGCCCCATTCCGGAAATTCACTTGCTTTCTCGTATGTGCAATCGCCTCTTGAAGACTGAGCCGTGCCCCCAAAAGTGTATAAATCATTTCATTAAAAATCTCATAGTCTTTATTGCTTTGCTAAGGGCCATCACCAAGTTTTGCAATAGAAGAAGGAAAAATAGTAAACCCCCAAACAGAAGACATTTCATTAACTGATTCAAACATGGAGAGAGGGGGGCAAATCTGCTGTCTCACTTGTACCATTAACTACTCGTGATTCGGGTTGAAGGAAGAATCCAGAAAGTTTATTTACTGCAATACAGTCATACCTCGTGTTGCGTCCACTTCATGTTGCGTCTTTTCACGCTGTGTCCCACGGCAACCCGGAAGTACCAGAACAGGTTACTTCTGGGTTTCACCGCTCGCGCATGCACAGAAGTACCAAATCACATCGTGTGCCTGCGCAGATGCAGCGCTTCGAGTTGCAGGCATTTCACGTTACGGACGGGCCTCCAGAACGGATCCTGTCCATAACACGAGGTACCACTGTAAAGTGTTGAAGCCGGATTGCTCCACAAAGGCTGGAACCTCTCCCAAACGCCGGGGGGGGGGTTACTTATAGGTTTCTTACACAAAGCATTACAATTTCCTCCAAACATATGCATTCTCATTACCTCATTCAAAGAAGCATACAAGCTGTCGTTAGCCAGAACCTATTTTGTTACATTTCATTTTAGTGTGCCTGCGCTTCTAGAATAAGCATATTTGTTGACATAGCGTTAATTCACTGTGCTTGCATGGCCTTCACATAAATATATTTTGTTGCAGAAGCTATTGTGCTTTGTATTGTGTGTGTGTGTGAACCTGCATGTATAGCTACAGTACTTGTGTTCTTGTGATAAGAGTTTTAGCTTCTCTTCGGGGGGCGGGGGGCTTCTTCTAAAGGAAAGACTTTCTCAGCAGTTTCTTAAAGTGATAGGCTGCTATAAGTTCCCTTTACCAGTCACACTCAGGAGTCCACATTACCACATTTTTGGGACCCTCGAGGCCCCTCCCACACCATCACCAAGTCTTGCACTAGAAGAAGAAAAGATACTAAGGCCCCAAATAGAAGACATTTCATCAACTGATTCAAACATGGAGGGGGAACACACAGGGTACAGTCCTCCACGTGGTGCAGTCCTCTCCTAAATAAATAAATAGTGCCACTCTGGTGCAGAAAGGGCTGTGCAGAATATATATTTTGATAGCAGGAATAGGGAATGGCTGGCCCTACAGTTGAAGTGGGATCACAGCTCCCAGCATCCTTGACCATTAGCCACATTGGATAGGGCTGATGGGAGCTGGGGTCCAAGGACACCCCTGGAGGGCCAGTGACACACTTTGGGCTCTCAGATTTCAGCAGCACCCTGTGAGACAGTTAAAATTTGACATGCCTCCCACCTCTCTAGCTCTGTTTTCCAACGTTGTTATGGCGCCCCCTGCAGCATGGTGCCCAGTGCGGCCGAACCGGTCACGCTCTACCCTAGAACCCCGTCTGCAGGGGGCTGCTGTCCCCAATCCCTAATAGATAGGCTGGACGCACCTGTGAAATAATGAAGCATCCTCTGCCCCTCTCTCTGGAGAAGCGTTGTTAGCTTTAAAAGCAGACATTAATTTGCAGGATGAAAGCATCCAAAATCTAAGTAGAGGGCTGTAGAGCTCTGTGATGCCGTACATCTGAGGCAGTTAAGTCCGTTGGTATGGTTATGACAGTTATTAGCAGTCTTAACAGTTAGAGCAGCAGGGATGTTCTGTTGTGCTGCTGTCTGCCTCACAGTTAGACTGTACCCGTATTTATCATAGAGACAAATCTGTGTAAGATGTATTAATGGCATAAGTAACACCTACCTGCATTGCCTATTTAATCTGCAGTGGTTTAGACCACAGCGCCACCCACATCCCTCTTGGGCTTGCCAATCAGAAGGTTGGCGGTTCGAATCCCTGCAATGAGGTGAGCTCTCATCGCTCTGTCCCAGCTCCTGCCAACCTGCGTTTTGAAAGCACACCAGTTGCAAGTAGATAAATAGGTACGGCTGCGGTGGGAAGGTAAATGACATTTCCGTGCACTCTGGTTTCTGTCATGGTGTTCCGAAGCGGTTTAGTCATGCTGGCCACATGACCTGGAAAGCTGTTTGTGAACAAACGCTGGCTCCCTCAGCCTAAAAGCGAGATGAGTGCCACAACCCCATAGTCGCTTTTGACTGGTCTTAACCATCCAGAAGTCCTTTACCTTTTTTACCTTAATCTGTGAGTGCAAGTACACTAAGTAAAAGTTATCCATTATTTGAACTTTAAGAGAGAGTGCCTTGCATAGTTTTTATAGGAGGGAAGGGGAACTAATGGGGTTTGGCAGTTGCTGGTGCAACAACTCATCTGGCTGATTTCTTAGTTCTTTGAGATGCCATAACTGGGCAGCTGCCATTCAGTGCAGCCTCGTCACCAGTATGATAGGAATCTGAGCCACACGGTGGCAGCGTCAAAAAAAGATTACCCTGATGGATGGACTTCTCTTGCAGCCTGTTTCTTAGTTTCTGCCGGCTCCCTTTCGCAAGACCGAGGTCCCACTGTTACCCTGAGGCAACCCTGCTGCCTTTGATCCTGTCCACAGGATCACAATCCACTGCCCACAGCACAGCTTCTTTACAGAGTTAGTGGGACAAGGAAAGACAGGAGGCTGCTTTGCAGTCACATTCTCTCCCTGTCTCCCTTAAGCATTTTTCACACACTAAATGACTCAGAACCAAAACGTTGATTAATCAAGTCCCAAGCCCAACCACCCATGTCTGTACTAATAAGCTGCAATGCAAATTCTCACCCAGGCCCAACACCCAAATACGATTCTGTCTGTGTTTTGTCACACTGACACAACTGGGCTTGTCTTACGTTACTGATGTTCTGTTTTTCCTTCCCTGGTAAGCAGTGTGAGGAAAGCAAGAGAGTGGAGTGATGGGAATAGCAAGTGGGGTGTTGGAGGCAGCAGAGAGAAGAAAACAAGGGCGCAGACTGCTGAAGTTAGTGGCAAAGTCACATTCCTACCTTGCTGCAAATTGGGTAGTGTCAATTTCATGCCAGCTAAAAGGAGAACGGTTTTGCATTACCTTTCTCAGCCCTCCGAGACGGGATTTGTGAAAGCGTCAGCATCTCACAGTTCCAAGTATTGTAAGTTTAGGAGATTTGAATATATATAGAAGGCATGGAGTCCCATTGCTAAATCAGCTCACCCAACCCCAGCTTGGAATTGATGGCACTTCCAAAATACCTTCTGCCAATGAAATGGGATAAAATGTTTTGTTCCTGATGCTGCTTATTGAATTACCTCTTTCCGCTGCACCCAAGATAACCAATCTGCATATGCATGCTTTCTTTGATGTCACCTGGGAATTCATTGTGCAAACACTTTTAAGATTAATGATTCAAAGCATGGGAGAGAGAGAAAACAAAGATAACTCTCCCTTACTGGGGAAAAGATTTGGTTCTTCCAGAAATTAGCACATGAACAAAAATAGCTAGCTTTCTTTCTTTCTTTCTTTCTTTCTTTCTTTCTTTCCTTCTTTCTTTCTTTTGAAGGGGCTGCACTCTATCAAAAGTAGGGATGGGGAAAACATTCATTCTGTTCCCATTTTACTGCAAAACATACACACACACACTTTGTGAACCAATACGCAAACCAAAATCCAGGTATCTTTTGAAATTCAAAATAAACAGATGAAGAGAATGTTAGATTGAGAAAATAAGAAACTAAGAGAAATTAAAATTGACAGGTTCATCCATCCTTAGGTAACAAAGACAGTCAAGAATCCCACTGCCAAGCTTTGGCTAGTACACAAACTGCACCCGTTTCTGGAAAAGATGGGCCTTCAAAGCTCAGTGTCTGAATGCTCTTTTTCTTGCTCTGTAGCATTCCCTGCACAAATCTGCTATTTAAAACTGAAGCGCAACAAGTGACAATTTGGATTTTCCATGGATTGCCATTTGCTCCTATTCAGCTTTAAAGAGTGGGTTTTCATGGGGAAAGCTCCAGAGGAAGAAAAAGGACCTTCGGACACAGATCTTTAAAGTGCCAATTATCCCTGGAAAGCACAGAGGAAAGGTAAGTGTGGATGAGCCCCTTCTTGTCACTGTCAAACACAAAGAGCAAAAAGCCATTCCTTTGGAAAATCCTTCTCTATGACCAAGTCAACTTCACTGACTCCAGGTCCATGCCCATCTCCCTGGTCACATTCAGGGGAGGACATTCCAGACCAGTGGAACAGGAAGTTATACTGACTGAAGTAACATCCTCCTGCTTGTTCCCACTCTAGGGAAACAAGGAATGTTGTATGTGACTGCCCCAGTGGATTATATCCCACATCTTAAAGTCCTAAATGGCTTAAGACCAAGATCGTTAAAGGGTTATCCCCCTGTGTATGATTCTGCCTGTCTTCTATGGTCAGTGGAAGATTCCCTCTTGTTTGTCCCAGTCTGAAGTACAGTTAGTAGGAATACGGAAAATGGCCTGCTCTGCAGTAGCACCTAAGACATCAAATCCCTGTGCTCCAAGAGATCTGCTTAATCCAGAAGTTGGTAACTTGCTTCCCACCAAATGATGTCAGATGATTTCCATCATACTTGACTATCAACCATGCTGGTTGGGGCTGATGGGAGCCAAAATTCAACAGCCTCCAGAGAGCCACCAATTCTGTCCATCCCTGGCTTAACCCCTTTTTTGTTGGTCTCAAAGACCATTTTCTTTGGGCAGGTACTTGGCCTGACTGTAACTTGACATTTTCTTCATTCTTTCTCACTCCCCATGGTTATGTTGATTGCCACTGTTTTGATGGTTAATAGGTGTTGGAAGCTGTTTCATGGACCTTTCACTTCCTTCCTCCCACCATCCCATGTGCAGACAAACATGTAATTTGTCATATGGTCAACAGAATCCTTTGGCAAGGTTTCAAAATCCCCAAAGCTGTTTTCAAGAGGTAAATCTTTCAATGACAGAACCCAAGGGAAGGTATCAATTGTAGGGTGTCAGGAAAATGAATAGCTAATTCAGAGATAGCCAACATGCTAAATATTGTTGGGACTATAGATCCCATTGTCTCTGACCATTGGCCATGCTGGGAGGAGTTCAATATCTGAAGGATGCTCTGTTGGCTACCTGTGATCTAATGGGAAGCTGGCATTTTCAGGAAAAATGACATTTTGTCAATTACGTTTATTGATTTCCCATTTACTTTTAACAGATTGTCACCAAATTAATACAAATTTAAAAGCTGACATTTTGAATGTGATTTGTTTGACAGTAGAACTAAGAATAAGTTCAGGAGAAAATAGAAATGAAGCAGTACTGCTAAAAGATAGAGTTTGATTTGAACCAAAGCTTCCTTTGGGCTTAGTCCCAGAATCACATTTCAGGCTTAGCTCTTGGGCATGTGAACAAATAAGGGAAGAGTCCTTCTGAGGATGTGCAGAAGCCCTTTGACCATGTTCCTGAGTTCTCTTGGGCAGCCCTTGAACATCTGCAGTTATAAACAAGGCCAGAAGTCCTCCAGATGTTGCTGGACTCCAGCTCCCATCAACCCCTTCCGACAGCATGGCTAATGGTCAGGGATTTTGGGAGCTGGAATACAAAACCATTGATTTAAAGGCAGGCTTGAGACTCGGTGTGTCTCCCTTAAGAAATTTAGCACTGCCACAGACTGTTCTTGATTAAGTCTTGATGTCTTGATCTGTGCAAAAAAAAAGGAAGAAGAAAAGAACACCTGAGAAGGTCATTCGGCAATTCTAGCCCCATGAAAAGCTGTCTGTTGAAAGCTGCCAACAACAGCTCATTTGCCCGGCCTGCAACTGAGCTGACATTTCCAGACCAGGTATTAAAATCTGACTTAACAAAAGCACAGATTGTTGGATGATATTTCTCCCTTTGGGCAAAATGCTGAGCACTGAAGCAACGCTAGTTTGGCCACAGGTGGGGGATATCACTGATGAATGCTCCACTGTGTTCAGACAACAACAGCAACCCTACAGCCTACAAGTGGAGAACCTCCACATCAGGGAGAAAGGGTCTAATCCAGGGGTCAGCAACCTTTTTCAGCCATGGGCCAGTCCACCTTCCCTCAGACCTTGTGGGGGGCTGGACTATATATTTTTTTGGGGGGGGGAATGAACAAATTCCTATGCCCCACAAATAACCCAGAAATGCATTTTAAATAAAAACACACATTCCACTCATGGAGAAACACCAGGCAGGCCCCACAAATAACACAGAGATGCATTTTAAATAAAAGGACACATTCTACTCATGTAAAAACACGCTGATTCCTGGACAATCCGCGGACCGGATTGAGAAGGTGATTGGGCCACATCTGGCCCCTGGACCTTAGGTTGTCTACCCATGGTCTAATCCAACCTTATTGCTGTTCCTCTAGTTTTATTCTTTCAGGGAAGCATTCAGAAAGTCCCCCACCCCCACCCCTATTCACACACTTACGTGGATCAGTAAATCAAAGCTGTTGCTAGGAGTTATGGCAGCTAAAAGCATCGTGGTGATTAGCAATAGGAGTGCTATAATGGGCAGGCAGAGACTCCTGACCCCACAGATAGTAAGGGCAAGTTTATACATGCACAGAGCTGGGGGTAATGCACCGGGGTCACTTTGTGTGCATAAGAGCTGTCGGATTCTGCCCCATGCATATAGCCATAGACTGACTAAGGAGCACTATAAAGAGAGACTGTTCTCAGTATACAGGTATACAGGTAAGAATCATCTGCAGGAAACAGGCAAGGGAGATTTCATCAGCTGGGGCCAAGCTGGATTCTATTTCATTATGTCTATCAGTGTGTTGCCAATGGTTAACTAGTGCTAATAAACCATACTGAGGTCTAGTAACTTTTACAGTCTTTCTTACGTGGCTGAATTACAAAGCCAATTCTGTCCAGCTTCTCATTTTCTATCTGGTTAAATTTTTGCTGCTTGTTGATTGTCTCTTTGCCATTTCTCATATTGCCCAACGGATGACTCAAACGGTGTGGTGTTTTGGGGGGTGAGTGGGGGGAATTATTGCATAAGCCAGAGGCATGCTGATAGAAAGGAAGGCTTCATTAAACTCATAATAGTATGTCATTACTTCTGAGAAGTGATTGCTGTGGATTTGCTCAATAAACAATGCAGCATTAATTGCTTTAGGAACGAATTTGTATCAGCTGGCTGAGAGATCTTATCACACTGTGATGGGCAAGCCTCTTTTGAAAAATGCATTGAAGAGCTTAAGGCCGCTCTGAGCCACAAAGCTCCCATCAAAGACAGTTCTTTAAACACCCACACTTATCAAACTTTGCAGCTCTCAGATAAGTTATTTTCCAGATAAAGTTATAACTATTGAAGAAGGGCCTGTGAAATATTGTCTCAGCTTCCAGCACCCTTCATGCTCTTCTTCTTCTTTGGTGATCCCTCGTAGCCGAGGAAGATTGTCTTCCATGAACACAGTTTTAACAGTGAGTCCATAAGTGACTGTGGAGGCCAATTCTGGATCCACACGTCCTTCCACGACGGGGACATAGGCAGGAGTTGATCATGGTTTGCCAAGTGTGCCTTCCTCTTAGCACATTTCTCCCTTTCCTCCTGAGTTCGAGCATCTTCAAAGCCCATGACACCTTTGGTAAAGGGTGTTCTCCAGGCTTGCAAGCCATTGTTTCCCAGTTGTCAGTGCTTATACTACATTTTTTTAGATTTGCCTTGAGAGAGTCTTTAAACGTCTTTTGTTGACCACCAGCATTACACTTTCCATTTTTATTTTCGGAATAGAGAAGTTGCTTTGGAAGATGATAATCAGGCATCCGCGCAACATGACCAGTCCAATGAAGCTGATGTTGAAGAATTATTGCTTTAACACTGGTGATCTTGGCTTCTTCCAGCACACTGGCATTAGTTCTCCTGTCTTCCCAAGTGATGTGTAAATGTTTTTGGAGACACCGTTGATGGAATCTTTAGAGGAGCTGGAGATAGTGGCGTCACAACAGGGGTGGGAGGGTGGTGCGCCCTGGGTACCATGTCTGGGGTGTGACAAGAAGGCACCCCACAGGGGCTCGCAGTGTCAAGAGCAGCCATCGCGCTTCCGCAGCCGCATGTGGAGGATCCTCTGTTAGTGGCTGCAGCCATGAGCAGAAGATCCCAGTGCCAGCGGCAAACCACTATGTACAGCGCATGTGCTGTACATAATGATGCTACACATGCACTGTACATAGCGGTTTGCCGCCATAGCCACTCCAGCACCATACGGACGGCGGTAGGATCCCTCCATCGCCGCTACTGCCGCATGTAGAGGATCCTCCGTTCACAGCTGTAGCGGCGATGGAGGGATCCCGGCACTGTCCGTATGGCGCTGGAGTGGCGCTGCTGGCAAACCGCTATGTATAGCGCATGTGCGGCATCGCTATGTATGGCGCATGTGTCGTACGTAGCAATGCCCCACCCCGGGTGTCACAATGCCTTCGTTTGCCCTTGGTTGGAGATGGCATTTATAAGTGGTCCACGTTTCACAAGCATACAATGAGGTTGGTAGTACAATAGCTTTATAAACAAGCATTTTGGTTTTCCCGTGAATGTCCTGGTCCTCAAACACTCTGCGCTTCAATAGGGAGAAAGCTGCACTCACAGAGCTCAGGCCCAGGCAGATGCTAGTCTAAACCTGAAGGGTATTGGTATGAGTTGGGGAGACCCTTCTAACCCCTGGATTCAGCAACTGTGAAAATATAAGCCAGGCTAGCTTTTTGGTGAGGTGATTGCCTGGGTGATGGGCCATTAAGTGGAACAAAGGAAGTGGGTCTGTGTGAGATGACAAATGGATGGGGCCCTCTCCCCCAACTTGTGCATAGTTAGAAGGATGAAGTCAGTGTTGAGGGCATAGAGTTGGAGTGATGTGAGCTAAAAGCAAAGCAGCAAGCTGGAGAGAAGAAGATAATCCTTGCTGCAGATTTATAGTGTTACCCCCACCACCACCACCACTCAGAGAGAATCCATGAATTCTTTGTTGATTTAAATGTGTTGTCTTGCTCCCATCTTCACTGAGGGAATTTGTCACAGCAGGGACAAGAAGAAAAACTCTTTATCTACCCGCTACAAATCAGTCAATGATGCAAAACTAGGTTTGTTTTTGTTTCTTTAAGAATTCTTACTTGCCTTCATGTCTTCTGAGTTCTTTCATTCTCTTCTCCTTTTATATTTCCTTTGCTTGTTCTTTTTGGATATGCGTATTTGTTTAGATTTATGTATCTATGATTTGGTATACTAACCTTATTGTGAATCTTATGTAAATATTTTTATTTATTCTTTATAAATAAAATAAATTGGCAAACAGGTACTTCTAGAGCTAAGCCAACACAACACTCTTCACTAAGAAGTAACTGGCCATAGTTAACAGCAGCAAGGACATCTTACACACTGCTGGGTAGAGCTGTTCCCCCAACAAGCAACCTGATCAAAAGTGCAAAACTAAGGTTTGGTCTCCCCTAGCCATAGCTGTCAACTTTTCCCTTTTCTTGTGAGGAATCCTATTCAGAATAAGGGAATTTCCCTTTAAAAAGGGAAAAGTTGACAGCTATGCCCCTAGCACAGCAATCATCCACTGCCAACCTTAGGGGAAAAGACTGGAGAGTATAGCATTAATTCAAAACACGATCATGTAAGCTATGGTTTGCGAGCGCTCCATCCAAGAGCTGGTGTAGCTGCTAGGAAAATGTTAAATAAAACATTTAAGCCCTGGTGATGTATGGAGGGCAGCCCCACACCTCATGTCAGGTTCACCTGCACTATCATTACCAGCTTCTCTTGAGCCCAGCCCTGCTCTTTGTCTTCCTCTGCACTCCCTTCCATCACCAATATCTGCAGATGGAAGTGAATAGGGAGAGGCGAAGCAGGAGCAGAGGTAGGCAGAATTTCCCAGAGAGTGTGTGCTATAACTTGCAGCTGGTTCCTGCTGGGCTGAAGCTTGCAAGCTGCGTGCATGGTCTCCTTAATTTTATAGATTCAATCTCTCTACCTGCTACCTGGAGGGGGCTAGGCAAACCTGAAGACTTCAAATCAGCCCTGGAAGTCCAGCAGCCCTTGCTATATTACTGCAGAAGCAGTCAGGGTCCCAGGTACAAATCTGAGGCCTTATCTACACTATATATTTAAAGCATTAACAAACCACTTTAAAGAGTCATGGTTTCCATCCAAAAAATCCGGGGAATTATAGTTCGTTAAGAATGCTGAGAGTTGTGAGGAGACCCCTGCTCCTCTCACTTGGCCTGTTTTTGCTTTAGAGGAGCAGAGAGGAAATCAATTTTGTGGACAAGAAATACCATCCTTTTTGACAAATGCCTTATAATTTAGATACTTCTGTTTCATCCCCTGGCCTTTGAACCTCAGTCCTCCTTGCATGGGGGGGTGGGGAGCAGGCTAATTTTCTGGTGTTCTTGAAGACATAATTGCTTCCTCTGTGACACAAAATCAGTACTTATCGAGTTGTCCTCAAAAAGCCAAGTATTAAATATTGGTTTAATAGCTGTGTTAATGTTTTCATGGGAAACCTATCCTTAAAATGCCACTTCTTTCCTTCCCCTCAACAACTGCAAAAACCAGGGGCCAAAAAAGTTCCCAAAATACACCTGACGTTTAGGCCTTCAGACAGCAAACATCGATTTCTGATTGGACTCAGCAGAGGTCCGTGCGACAGAAGTGACAGAAAGGCTTCCAAAAATTCCATGTCAAAACTAATCCATCAGAGCTGGTGCGTTGTTAAGAGGTTATTGTCTGCTTGGATCGATTGAGCCATTTTGCAAATGAAACTTTAATATTGATAGTAACTAGAATTTTAATACTGGCCCAGCATGACACTATTGATTGGGAGGCTGGGAGGAAAGTTTTTGGTTTTGCTGCAAAATAAATCCTGCTACTATCTCTGATGCCTTCCTCTTGGACAGGTAAATTACTTTCATCCCTGCAAAATGGGAAGAAGGCTGCAGTGATCTCCATCGTCCGATCTTCCACATGCCTTGATTCACCTGGTTGAGTTTTCTGTAGCAGTTTATTGCAGTGTCCAGTCTAGATTAATTATTAGCTATATATCTCTCATGAGCTCCTTTTAAAGGCTCCTTGTTTACAGAGGACATTTTGGATGAAGTGGATTCTAGTCCATGAAAGTTTATGTAACAATAAATTTGTTAGTCTTTATGGTGCCACAGGACTCTCTGGGGTCCTGCAGACTGGCGTTTTATCGCAGGGGTCTCTGGGGTCCTGCGGACTGGCGTTTTATATGCAAAATATTCTTGGCTCAATAATAGTGCATTGGTGGTGTATTTATTCTGCTTTAGTTTGTTTTGTGATGCTTCCCCAGTGCTACCACATTATTAAGGTCCAAAAGTCCTACAGCACAACAAAAATGTAACCAGAACATTTGTTGTATAGTTAAAAGATTTCCGTAGGACGTTATGGGGCATGCACTGATTGGAAACAAAACAGTGCAACCACCCAATAAAATGGATGTCTGGAGAGGCTCTCAGTTGATTTTGCTACAACAGACTAAGGCCACATTCGCACCATATGGTCACAGCACTATCATGGCCCCCCCAAAAAAATTCCGGGGGCTGTAGGTTGTTAAGGATGCTGAACGTTATTAAGAGACCTTCCATTCTCCCCACAGAGCTATGATTCCCAGAGTTCCCTGTGAATAGGGAATGGTAATAATAATAATAATAATAATAATAATAATAATTTTTATTATTTATACCCCGTCCATCTGGCTGGGTTTCCCCAGCCACTCTGGACAGCTCCCAACAGAAAATTAAAAGCACAATAAAATGTCAAACTTCCCTAAACAGGGCTGCCTTCAGATGTCTTCTATAAGTCAGATAGTTTTTTACAGTGGTACCTCGGGTTAAGTACTTAATTCGTTCCGGAGGTCCATTCTTAACCTGAAACTGTTCTTAACCTGAAGCACCACTTTAGCTAATGGGGCCTCCTGCTGCCGCTGCGCCGCCAGAGCACAATTTCTGTTCTCAACCTGAAGCAAAGTTCTTAACCTGAGGTATTATTTCTGGGTTAGCGGAGTCTGTAACCTGAAGCGTATATAACCCAAGGTACCACTGTATTTCCTTGACATCTGATGGGAGGGCATTCCACAGGGTGGGTGCCACTACCGAGAAGGCATTCTGCCTGGTTCCCTGTAACCTAACTTCTCGCAGTGAGGGAACCACCAGAAGGCCCTCAGTGCTGGACCTCAGTGTCAGGGCAGAAAGATGGGGGTGGAGACGCTCCTTCGGGTATACTGGGCTGAGGCTTTTTAGTGCTTTAAAGATCAGCACCAACACTTTGAATTGTGCTCAGAAACGTACTTTGAGCCAATGTAGGTCTTTCAGGACCAGCATTATATGGTCTTGGTGGCCACTTCCAGTTACCAGTCTAGCTGCTGCATTCTGGATTAGTTGTTCTACTACTCTGAGAATTGTAGCTCTATGAGGGGAAATAGGGGTCCCCTAACAACTTTCAGCGGTACGCGGGTGGCGCTGTGGGTAAAACCACAGTGCCTAGGACTTGCCGATCGTATGGTCGGCGGTTCAAATCCCCGCGGCGGGGTGAGCTCCCGTCTTTCGGTCCCAGCTCCTGCCCACCTAGCAGTTCGAAAGCACCCTTAAAGTGCAAGTAGATAAATAGGTACCACTTTATAGCGGGAAGGTAAACGGCGTTCCATGTGCTGCACTGGTGCAGGCTCGCCAGAGCAGCGATGTCACACTGGCCATGTGACCCGGAAGTGTCTGCGGATGGCATCGGCTCCCGGCCTCTAGAGTGAGATGAGCGCACAACCCTAGAGTCTGTCAAGACTGGCCCGTACGGGCAGGGGTACCTTTACCTTTACCTAACAACTTTCAGCACCCTTAGCAAACCACAGTTCCCAGGATTCTTTGTGGAAACAGTTTAAAGTGGTTTCACAGTGCTTTAAATGTGTACTGTGAATGTGGCATAATACAGCTACAGAGCACAAAGAATAACCTCTGAAAATGGCTAGTTTTGTCTCTTAGGGATGCCTTGTTAAACACTTATTAGTTCAAGTTGCTAGAGTTGCCACCTCAACTGACCCTTGTGAAGAACACCTGCAAGTAGTTCTGACCCCAGCTGGAGAATAAGGATGCCCTCTGAATCTTCTTGAGATCAGTGAACTGCCCACCAGCACAAGTGAAAAGTAATTAATCAGCAAAGTGCCTTGGTGTTGTGTTCCTTATTTTGATATGTGTTGTGGCTGTGTGGGTGTGTGATTGTACTTGCTTACCTTTGGATAAAAAATAAACTTGTTGTGCCGTTTGTACAGAGCCCCCAGTCGTCTCACGGACTATTGACCTGTACACCACTAATCCGCTGCCACCAACCAGGTTCTCCCCGGTAAATCACTTAGTCTCAGTCGGGTTCTCAAGTTAACAATGAAGTTTGTAGTTTATTGCAAACACAAATAAACTTTAAATGCATTCGAAACGCTGTTACCCTTTACCCTCTTAGTCTTATTTTATCCTGTCTCTAACTCTTCTACCTCCCCTCACACAAGAACCAACTGCACTAACTGTCTCTCTATTTCCATCTGTCTTCCAACTGCTCTTTCCCCCAACTGCTTTTTCCCAACTGTCTAAACCTCTGGCTAAGCCTTTTAAAAACAGGTAGGCTCCGCCTCTGGCTTTCTATTGGTCTACCTATTAACCCTTTCTCTCTCCCTGTACAGACATTTCCAAAAGAACGGGCAAACGCCACATTTGTATGCTGTATGGGGGGGGGGGTGAGCAACATTGAGTTTGTTCCATAGAACCTTTGAGAATGAACCAGATATTACCATTACTAGCCAGCACAGCTGTGCTGCCTGGAGCGGTTGGGAGTTTTAGTCCAGAAAATAATGGAAGGCAGCTATGGGATTTACAAAACACAAGACGTTTTGCAGCCTTGGAGTGGGTGGTAAATGGCTTGCAGGGGTGGATATTGGGGGAGGTGGACAATAGGGATAAAATACAACACTTTTTTTCAGCCACAATTCGCCAGAACTCAGTTCTGGCACCTCTCAGAACATTTGGCACCATTGCCATTCTAAGAGAATGAGGGGAGGGTTTTTGGTGAGTTCTGGCACCCCTTTTTCTAGAAAAACAGCACTGGAAAAAGAGAATTTGGTCTGATATGACTATTGAAATTGTAGTCTGCCTGTATTTTCCTTTCAGCCTGTCCATATTTGGGGTTGGTTTAGAAGGCATCTCTTATCACTGGAAAGGTAAATGTTTGGCTTATTGCTTTGATCATACATAGCTTTGCCTTTCATTGCCAGAGTCCACATCTCTTCAATTTAGGTGAGGGGCGTTTTCTCTGGGTAAGCAGCAACTGTTTTTTTGGTAACGTGCAGCATGTTTTAACCCAGTCTTTCCCAACCTGGCAGCCTCCAGATGTTTGGAAATACAATGGACATGCAGGTTGGCACTGATGGGGATTGTATTCCAAAACATCTGTAGGACATGGAGAAAGCTGCCTTAAACCATGCCATATTACCTGTGTTGACAGGCCACTCTTCAAGATTAAGTAGTCTCAGTTCTAAACATACTTACACACACTTGTTTGCAGTCACTTTAAAATTAATGGGACTCGCTTTCAAGCAAAGGTGGCTAGTCTCTCCATTTACATTCTGTGGGTGTTTGTTTGCTGCTTGTTTTTAAGTGGAAGGAGGTGGAACAAACCAAGTGTGACATTTAACCAGCACTTCTGGACTCATCACTTCTGCAGGCCTCAGTTTTAAATAGCCTTGCATCATGCTGTTAAATGTTTAATTTCTCGCGGATAGGCAATCATGTTTGTTTGTCGTTGACTGCATTTCCCTGAAGGTGCTTTGTTGTTCTTTAAAAGCCCATCTCCAATATTAAAGATCTTTGTTTTCTTCATGTAGAACAGGCATTCCGTACACTGAGAAGGATTTTAATGGCATCGGCTGAGCTGGCGTCCTCTGGGGGCAGCCTCAATGAAGGAAGTGTTTTTGATGCTGGCTACCATCTTGGAGTAGGTTTGGTTATGTCAATGCTACAAAAGCAAACAGGTCTACTTGTAGAAGGTCACCTGTGTAGCATCTGGCCCCACAGACATGGAATCTGTTGTTACCGTCTTGAAGAAAATGTACTGGGACACTGTTGTCAAGACAAGCTGATAATATTGAACCAACTCAAGGTATGCTGATAAAAAAGTGTAAGAAGAGCCTTGCTAGCTATGAACAGGTTTCTTGGATCATACCAAAGCTTCATTTAGTGCAGCTCATAATGATCAACAAGATTCATCTGAGAAGCTCAAAAGCAGGGGACAGTGGTTTTTTTTGTTTAAAAAAACCCAGAAGCTTTTTTATTAGGAATTGTAGGTACCAATATTCCAAAGGAGCAGAAAATACTTGTTATGTATGTGACAACAGCCACACGGATGCTACTAACCCAGAGATGGAAAGAAGGCAAAGTCCCTACCAGAGAGGAATGGCAAACCAAGCTGATGGACTACGCCGAAATGGCAAAACTGACCAGAAAACTCAGGAACCAAGAAGACAAAAGCTTCAAGAAAGAATGGGGAAAATTTATAATATATTTAGGAGACCATTGAAAGCAGATGAAAACTTTAGCAGGATTTTAATAACCCTTGTAATGTAACAAACAATATGGACAATATGGACAGATACAAAATATAGATCATAAAATAATATGCAGTTGAAAATGTTGACAATAAGACCCATGGAGTCTTATTGGTGGGAAGTCTCAAGAATCAGATAAATCTCTATACGGATATGTATTTGGTACTGTTATAACTTTGTAAAATGGAATAAAAACGATTCCCTCCCCCGCAAAAAAGCAGGGGACAGAGCTAACCGTCCTCCTGTTGGTATTCAGAGGCATTCTGCTTCTGAGGTTCCATATAACTTGTGGTTATTAAGAGTCTGGATGAATCACTCTGCTTTAAAAAAAATAGATATATATTCAAAATTAAAACAAAACATATTATCCAGAAACATACCATCCTTATTTTTCCCCATTTTTCCTTCCTTCCTCCCTCCCCCCACCCTCCCACACAAAACCCACCCACCCCCATCCCCCAGCTTCCCTCAGTTCCAGTCTTTGATTTCTCTAAGAATGCTGTTTTCTGCATGATACACAGTTGTATAGATCCTCAAACTATTTAGCCGATTATTATCAATAAAAAGTTTGTGAATGTTTATTCAAAGCCAGCCAAGGAGTCCAGTTTGCTTTGTTGCGTCTTCAAATACTTTGTATTGAAGGGTTCCCATTCACCTTTAAAGTCACAGTTATCTTTGTCCCGTGAATCACTCTGATTTGAGCCCTTTTCCCATTTACATTTGTTCAGATATAAATCCTTCTCCATATTAATCTGCTAAAAAGAAAATACGCACAACTACTTCCATTTAAATACATACGTTTTAAAGCAGGATTCGGGATTTGACCTCCTTGAAGAATCATTGCCCTATCACTGGCCTCAGCACCTATGGAGTTGAAGATGGAACCTATGGAGATGGAGTGGAACCTGGGAAATCCTCTCAGGAACACCATTCCAGGTGGTGTCCCATTCAAGAATGCAAAGATGTGGTGCACTCTGACTCATCTTACCTAATTCCGGGGAAGGGTACTTCTTCACACAACACATAGTTAAATTTGGAACTCGTTCCCACAGGAGGCAGAAATGGCCTTCATTATTGAGCGGAAGGGTCTCAATAGCTGCTAGCCATGATGGGTATGCCTTGTGCTATGTATTCAGTGGTCTGTGTTTGCCTGAGGTTGAGTCTGGAATGATTCTGAGCTCCTGTGTTCTGATTTGATACATGATGTCCCATCACAGAACATTTCAGGATTTGGGCCTCTGCCATTGGCCCTTGAGCTCTGAGTCGTGATTCGCAGCTTGGAAGTTTAGACAGCCAATCATGTTGGGAGTGGCCAAGACCTTCAGAAATGTATTTATATATGAAGTTGCTTTGCCCCTGTTGTCCAGTTCTGTAGTCCAATAAAGGTTCTTGCTCTTGTCACTGTGTCTTGCCTTGTGGGAACCCGCCTACACTTCCCTTTGCCTCCATGATCAGAAGCAGTACGCCCAAGAGGCTCAGTGGTTTAGACCACAACGCCACCCACATCCTAGTTGCTGAAAACTACAAATAGGAAGATTACTCTTGTGGTTAGATCCTGTTTGCAGGTTTCCCATGGGTATTTGGGTCATACTGTGAGAACAAGTTACTTGACTAGATGGACAATATTGGTCTGATCCAGCAGGATCTTCTTATGCTTCTTAATGAAGAGGACTCATCTCCTGCCACGTGATCTGACTCAGCAGAAACAATTCCTGGAGGGCGCTGAGCGCCAGTTTGTTCCCCTGGTTGCCTTTGATGTTCTGACTTAGGAAGTTTGCGAAAGCCAATAAAACTGGTCCTATGCCATGGCAACAACACTTAGCAAAGTGGGCTTGATTCCAAGCTATTGTCCTCTAGCTAAGCAGCTTATCTTAACTTTAGTGCCGCAATTAATCATTTGTGTTGCTCTTGTTAAAGTCCCTATTTAGTTTGTTCTTACAAGGACTCTGGTTAGCTCATTACCGTCCGTCCCATTTTTTATTTTTTATTTTTGCAGTGTGGAGCTCAAGTTCAGACTCAGCATTTGCTGCCAAAAACCACTTGAAAAACATTGGGCACTTGCTACTTTTGCTATCATGCCTAGTTCAGGGAACAAGTACATCAGAACATATGTATGTATATATGAACTACTACCCATCCCCTAACACCCCATACAACATGATCATATCATTGGTTCTGGGTTGTAGCCAACTAAAAAAAAAAAAAGGTATAGAACCCCTGGTTGGTTAAGTCCAGTCAAAGGCAACTATGGGGTTTTGAGGTGCTCATCTCGCTTCAGGCTGAGGGAGTTGGCATTTGTCCAAAGACAGCTTTCCTGGTCATGTGGCCAGCATGACTACACTGCTTCTAGCACAACGGAACACCATGGCAGGAACCAGAGTGCAAAGAAACGGTGTTTACCTTCCTGCCACAGTGGTACCTATTTATCTACTTGCACTGGCGTGCTTTCGAACTGCTAGGTGGGCAGAAGCTGGGACAGAGCAATGGGAGCTCACCACCATTGCATGGATTCAAACCGCCGACCTTCTGATTGGCAAGCCCAAGAGGCTCAGGGGTTTAGACCGCAGCGCCACCTGCATCCCTTTACCTGTATCCAACTAAGCTGTACTCAAGCAGACATACTGAAATGAAAGCATCCAAGTGACACATGTTCATTCACTTCAGTGGATTTACTCTGAGTAAGCAACATTGGCTACAACCCTCTTTTTTTCTAAGGCAAGGATGGGAGACCTGTGGCTTTCTAGATGTTGTTGGACACCAGCTTCCATCATCCACAGGCAATACTGGCTGGGCCAATGGGAGATAGAATCCAAGAACGGTTCTCTCTCCCTGTTCTAGTGAATTTAAATCCATTCACAAGAGATAATAATATTGATATTGTTTATAAGTCAAGAACATAAGAACAGCTCAGGGCCCTCCTTGCGGAATGCCCTCACTTCTGATGTCAAGGAGATAAAGAATTACACAACTTTTAGAAGACATCTGAAGGAACCCCTGTATTGGAAGCTTTTTAATGCTTGAAGTTTTTATTATATTTTTTGATATGCTGTAAGCCACCCAGAGTGTCTGGGGAAACACAGCCAGATGGGTGGGGTATAATAATAAAATTATTATTATTGTTGTTGTTATTTGCCTCAAGGACTGCCTCTCCCCACATGAACCAACGCAGACCCTGCAATCTTCATCTGATGCTCTTCTGTGAGAGGTCCAGAGGGCAGCAGCATGAGAAAGGGCCTTTTCCGTGGTGGCTCCTGTTTGTGGAATGCTCTCCCCAGGGAGCTTCACCTGGCACCTTCATTATACATCTTTAGGCACCAGGCAAAAACGTTCCTCTTCTCCCAGGCCTTTGGCTAATTATAAAATCTATGGCCTTTTAAACTGTGGGGGAGCGTTGCTTTTGTTTGTTACTATGGTATGTATTTATGTGTTTTTATATTGTAAGTTGGTAGACATTGCCTCCTGTAGGAGTATGTTCCATAGTTTTGACTGCACCATCAGAGGTGAGTTAGTGGCTCCTGATCTTGCAAAGGATTTGCCAATTCTCCTTTGCCTGCTTTAACCTCTAATTTGTCCCTGGAACAGGTCAACAAATAAGAAGATAGAGTGGATTTAGTTGGAAAGGGGATTATCCCAGGACTACTGGGATTGCATCAATAACTCTAGACAGGCAAGGCTAAATATCCTGAAAATTCCTATTTATCATTACTAAGCATCCAGCTCTCCAACAGGGAGAAGGGAGGAACGCATGAAAATGCTTTGGCAAGCCGCACAAAGGAGCTACAATTCAATTTTGTTTCCCTTTATTTCTTTTGATTCTCATCTAACGAGATATTAGATTAGCTGCTTTTGCAATTAGGAGAAGAAAAACGAAAAAAGAGAAATCTTATTACTAGGGAGAAAATTGTCCTTCTGTGGAGAGACAGCTCTGGTTTCTGGCAGCTGACCAACACATGTTACTGGGTCCTTCTCCCCCCCCCCTTTTAGAAAGCTATCCTTTTGACATCTCATTGCAGCTGTTCTCCAAGTAGGCTTATGAAATTGCCCTAATATGGACACCTGTTCATGGGGCAGCTGTGCTGCCAAGCCTTAGGGTCAGCAATGACCAACATTTTCCAAGTAGTAGCTAACAGCAGAGGGCATAGAAGAACTTGTGAAGCTGATGTTGACACATCGTTCCACATTTGTAAGAAATCAGTCTTTCAGTGAGGCAGCACCATCCCTTGGGAACTCCCTGCCTATTGACATTAGGTCAGCGATTTCACTGTACCCATTTTGACACCCGCTAAAAACATTCTTTTTCTTTTGGCAGGCCTGTCCAGACAAATAGGATATCGACATGTGTTTTAATCCAGTTCATCACTGATATAGATTCATAGATAGATAGATCGATAGATAGATGACAGATATAATCGTTGATTTTAAATATTTTTGAACATCACTAGAGCATGAGACTCTTAATCATAGAGTCATAGGTTTGAGCCCCACCTTTGGCAAAACAAAACAAAACCCTGCATTGCAGGAGGTTGGAAATAATAATAATAATAATAATAATAATAATAATAATAATAATATGACGTATGTGGTCCCTTCCAGTTCTATGATTCTATGAAATAGTTGTTTTTGTTGCTTTTTTGACAATCATTTTTATTAGTTTTCAATTACAATACAGTGGTACCTCGGGTTACAAATACCTCGGGTTACAAACACTTCGGGTTACAGACTCCACTAACCCGGAAGTAGTACCTCAGGTTAAGAACTTTACCTCAGGATGAGAACAGAAATCGTGCGGCGGCGGCGTGGTGGCAATGGGAGGCCCCATTAGCTAAAGTTGTACCTCAGGTTTAGAGCAGTTTCAGGTTAAGAACAGACCTCCAAAATGAATTAAGTTCGTAACCAGAGGTACCACTGTAATCCATTGGTAGCCTCATTATAACAGTGCCAAATTATATTACAATTACTAATCCCAATCATTCAAATGCCAAATTATATAATTTAGGTGGCCTCATGAATGCTAGAATTGATGGTTTACTTTGTTTCTGCATTTCAAAATCTTATTCATCCTCAATTACATTCCAGTCATAATAATAAACCCTTATACAACAACTGCAATATTAACGACATCCATTCATCTTGACATGCTGAATGATTTATAAACCCATAGTGAAGCATTCCTTATTCCTCCTGTGTGTGACAATTATTCTGTCCATGGTGTTTCTTCCTGTCCTTGTAAAATGTTACATCTGTCTATTCCCAGCTGTTGCTGCTCTCCATCACGCCTTGGGAGGAGCTATTATCCCATTGTTGTTTCAGAAGTTCTCCATTGCTCTTAAATAGTTGTTTTTATCTGATTATTTCATTGCTTTATTCTTTTTTGTATACCGCTTGGAGGTTTTTATTGCAGTCAAGTGGTATATAAATCTTGAGAGATAAAGTGTACATTCCCGTGTACCATGGTCCTGAACGGCCAAGCCCTCCACCACCCTTGGGCTCTTATTTTGAGAAAGTCAGAAAACAGGCATGCTAATTGCATTCCCACATACAGTCGTACTTTGGTTGTCGAAAGGAATCCGTTCCAGAAGTCCGTTCAACTTCCGAAAACCTTTGACAATGAAGGCGTGTCTTCCAATTGGCTGCAGGAGTTTCCTGCATGCAATCGGCAGCCGCGGGAGTTGCGTCGGATGTTTGGCTTCCAAAGAACGTTCGCAAACCGGAACACTCACTTCTGGGTTTGCGGAATTCGGAAGCCAAAATGGAGCATGACTTCAATAAACAAAACCACCCACCGCAGATTTGTTTTCAGTGCATCCGTTCCCAGAGCTTGTTGCCCAACAAGTTCCCTGGATGTCGGAAACGAATTGGCCCTTGGCCTCCCCTAAGGTGATATTTTATCAAAGCTTGGGGGGTTTAAAGCAACCACCTTGTTTCCTGTTAAAGAGGCATGCCTTTCTTAGCCTGCCATCCAAAAGTTGCAATTTCACAGCAGAACATTAAATATTGAT